ACACATTTCCACTCCAGCCTCCACGCCTGCCTCGGCTGCAGGCGCTCCACGGAGCCTTGGTGGCCGAAGTGCTTTCTTCTCTCTTTTGTGCAGTAGGTTGTTTTTGTGTGCATTGTTATATTTTCTCTCTTTCCTCCTTTCCCCGGAAGTCCCACGATTGTAGAGTTTAGACTCCTGTCCATGGCTGTGACTTTATTCAAGTGGAGGAGTGGATTGCACAGCACAGTACAGAGGAAAAGAGAATCACTGACACATTAGGCTTTTTTAAAAAAAAAAAAAAACTTATTCGTAGAAGAACTGGGGTACAGGCCAGAGGTGCGGAGTGTGTGAGGATTCACCAGAGACAGAGTGGGGAACAGAACAGGCAGACTGACTGAAACATACTGCTGAGGGGAGCAGCGGGCAAGACAGGAGAGGTCTGCTGCGCCATGTGGGTAACTCCCTGACCGGGGATCAAACTCAGGCTGTCCTGGTGATAGCGCTGAGACTCGGCCCCTAGGCCACCAAGGAGGGCCCATGGTAGGCCTTTAGTTGACCCAGCTTTGGGGCTCTGATGAGAATGAATAAACTTGACCAGATGCTGAACTGTAGGTGACAGTTGGCTAATGGCAGCCAGGCCCATCTGAGGGCCTAGCCTGTGGCTCATCCAGCACAGAGATCGCCTCTGCTAACCTGGTCTTTGGGAGTTTGTGAAATCTGTATCTGCCTATTGTAATCAACATGCTGCTTTCAAGTGGCGGGACTTAAGGAATCACTTAACCTGAGTGGGTTAGTCCTTGCTAGCTGAATTCTCTACTGTCCATTTGCCTTAGTGTTCATTGGAACTGGAAACATCTTAAAAGCCCCACGGACTGTTTGTGCACCTGATGGCCCTCGAAGGGAGGACTTGGCTCTTGGGTGAGGCCCAGCACGGGGTTTTGCTCTGGTCGTTTCTGGGCTTCTGGGTGGATCTGTCCTTTCACCCTCTCCTGATGTTCTGGAGCTCTCAGGAGCCCATCCTTTGAAATTCAAGACTTGCCCCCCTGCTTCTCTGCACTTCCTCCCTGACTGGCTATCACCCTGCAAGCCATCACGCACCTTCTGCTCTGGGTGTGTTGATCTAGTCCTGCACGTTCAGGTTACAGGCTAAGAGACGTGTCCTCTTTCTTCTCTGGGTCTCCAAGCTGCCCACTTGACCAGAGATCCCACTGGAGGTGCTCTGGGCCTTCTCTCTGGAGCCCAGATCCGCTGAGCCATAACTGATGCCAGGCACCCTCCTCCCTGAGAGCTCGGGCTGGGAAACCAGTGCGCAGGGCAGGGCTGGGTTAATCCCTGCGTCGCTGCTCGGCCGCATTTGATCGGTGACATGCCCGAGAGCGAGGAGCTGGCGATGGGAGAGCCACCTTATTGAAATAGTATGTTAGCATTTAAACAATATTAATACAATTTGACTCATTAAATATACAAAGGCCAGTCAAAGTGCTTCCATGTGTGCACTGTTGGTTCTGGCGGCCGCTCCTCAGATGGCTTTATGTGGTTTCAGACAACATTTTAGCACATTCTTAAAATACCCACAAAAGCCTTTATGTAAAAACTCATAAATGTAAACCACATAAAAATTATTTTTTTCCTGTTTCATGTCATTATGATCAAAGTACAGTAGGTAAGAATACATTTTCAAGAACTTGTTGAGGTCCCTCTTTAATTAACGTTTCACGCACAGCGCAAAGCTATAAACTGTGTAATGGGGGCTGTCTGGGTGCCCCACAGTCTCCTGCCGCTGGCTGGGCACGTGAGCCCTGAGGCACCTGCTGAGGCGGTGGTGATTCTGGGTGATTCCAAAGTGGCCCTCTCCCATCACTCTGGTCTTGGAGCATCAGGCTGAGATCTGCGGCCCCTCAAGTTTTTGCAACCCTTTGTGGCAAATGGAATGCACCTTCCTGAAGGTACCGGGGCCCTACGAGGAGGGCTGAGTTTTAGGACATCTGCCCCACATCCTCGGGGACACACCCTGGGGAGAGGGCGCTGACCCAGCAAGACCAGCAGTGTGGCCTTCGACTCTGCTGCCCTTGCTTCTTTTTTTTTTTTTTTTTTAAATTTTTTTAATAGAGGCATGTTTTATTTATTTATTTATGTGTTTTGTTTGTACATGCACTGGGTACAGTCAGAAGCACGGGAGGGTGAGAGAATTCACCAGAGCCAGAGCGGGGAGCAGAGCAGGCAGAAGGACCGAAGTACACTGCTGAGGGGAGCAGCGGGCGGCAGGAGAGGTCTGCGCGCCATGTGGGACCCTCCTCTGGTGGCCGGGGAGCAGCCGGGGATCGAACCGGTGCCACAGAGGCCGCAGGCAGCTTCACAACCCAGTGCTCAACTGCTGCGCCACCGGGGAGGCCCTGCCCTTGCTTCTTTATTAAAATTCATACCGACTGTAAATTAGGGTACTGCCCAGTGAAACACTACCCCAGCCATTAAGCACAATTACAGTGGTCATGTGCTCCGTGGAAAGGCACAGACGGTTCCGTGCCAAGTGGAAGAGCCGAACTCACTGGGTTCCATTCCTGTGCTTACAGTTATATAAAAATTATGCATCTGGACAAAGACTGGAAGGGAATCTGGAAAAATCAGGTTTATGGGATAAGTTGATTTATGGTATTGTGGGCTAATTTTTAAATTTCCCTTTTTTTATAACATTCTTGCTATAAATTTTTTAATTTTGGAGGAAAGAGCAGTAACCCACATGGAGGTCAGAATTGAGATTGCACTTTTGCCTCGTTTGTCTCCAGCATTTTAAAATGTTGGACCTGGCCAGTGTGGCCCACAGGGGAAGCTGAGGATGCCAGGGTGAAAGAAGCTGCCCATAGCGGGAGCCAGGCCACAGGGGTGGGACAGCAGAGGGGAAGCAGCCAGGTCCACCTTATAAAACATTAATGCTGTTGTTTTACCTTTCTGGAAAAAAGTAGAAATCTAGAGATGGGACTGAGGAGATCACGTACAGGCCACCTGGTGCTTTTGAATTGGACACAGGGTGGTGTCAACAGGGGTGTCCAGCCGCCGTGCTCTCTCCTGGTCCCCATCCAGGATAGTCCAGCACACCAGGGCAGCGGGCCTTACAAAGAACACCCGTGGTTCGGGAGGCGGTAGGAGTGGGGTCACAAGCTGGTGGGGGAGGGAGGGGACGCATGAGGGTGAAAATGCCCGCTGGGCCTCAAGCCTTCATTCCAGCGAACTGAAGGAGAGAAGGAATTCACCTTTCTGCCAACACTAGAAAAGCCCTGGTTTTTAAAGTTGTTTTTTCTTTTTGATGTGGGTTTGCTCTCCCTACAATCAGACTCAGAGGGCCACTGCCAACTGTTGCCAGCAGGAAGAGGGTTAGCAGGTCTCCTATGGGCTCTCTGCCCTCGGGAGCCACTGAAATCCAGCACGAGCTGGACGGGCTCCAGAGTACGTGCCGCCAGCTCACCTGAGCCCCGCACAGGCGCCAATCCAGGAGGGCGACACGTCTCCTGCCCCAGGAGCATTCCAGGAGTCTGTGCGTGCCCACCGCCCGCAGGCTGCTCTAGGCAGGAACTGCGCTTGGGGCCAAGACCAAACACACACTGCTTTCCTTCCACCACCTCCAGGAGGGAGGTTTGGAGGGTGATTTGGAATAAGAGAAAGAACCTTACTGAGTGGCCCCTGAGTTCCCAGCCCCGGCCCAGGCATAGTGTGGGATGGTGAAGTGGGGGCAGGGTGGTGACAGCAGCATCAGGGCAGCAGACCTTGGTGTAGACCCTTTGGGTGCCCAGTGGGCCTGCAGCAAGTCACAGCTGGGAGACGAGGCGGCCGTGGTGCCTACAGTTCAGGGTCATATGCGGGAGGCTGGGTGGCACCAACTGACCTGCATCCAAAACCTTCCAGGTGGGAATAGTTTCAGATTTATAATAAAATTAACTTCCAGAAAGTGCAAAGAATTCTTGGATGCCCTTTACCGTGTTGTCTTTTTAGTTCTTGTTTTCATTATTTCAATGAATAATCATTTGCTAGGTATCTATTTCCCTGTATTGTCTGTGTCTCTCAACACTATAAAGTAGGTATTATTGTCCCCGTTTTATAATGAAACCAAGGCCCAGGTTCACACCACCGTGCCGGTGGCCTCAGTGGTTGGTGGGTGGATACACACCTGGGCGCGGCCAGTGATGGCGGGGCTGGGCTGCAGCCTGCGGGCCCGTGTGTGCCTGCTGCCACAGTGAGGTGTGGGGTTCAGTTGGGGTCAGAGAGCTCTCTGGGGAAAAAAGTATGCCAGCCACCAGAGATGGGACTGTGTTCAGAGTTGAGTTGGTCGTCAGCTGAGCGGGAGGGACGCCACGTCAGCCGGAGATGCAGCGCCGCTGTTCCAGCTCCTTGCAGCCGCCGACCTTGGTCACAGTGGTTGACTTGGGCCTTGGGTTTCTCCTTTACTCTTTTTTTCCTCTTGCATTTGCTCTTAATTAGAAGTTTTTCCATCTTGATCAGACTCGAGGACTCTCTGAAGTGCACCCCTTCATTTCTGGCTAGATTGTGGCTCCCCTGGGCGCTCAGGCTCTGGAGGGTTCTGGGAAGGGGGGGCAGGTAGAGTTTGCTGCTTTATTCTTCATCTCCCCTGTAAAATAGCTGTCTCCGGAGACAGAAATAGGAAAGAATATTGGTTACCCAGGTCACGGCCCTGTTGGGCGTCTACTACTCACCACACATCTCCTGGGCTCGTCATCTGGGAGGAAGCTGAGGGTGGGAGAAATTTAGTAAGTTTGCCAAAGACCACCATGCTGGAGTTGGGGGAGCTCGGACTCGGGCCATCCTCAGGACTCCTCAGCCCATGTTCTCTCGGTGACCCCCAAAGTATGCTTCACCTCCTCCCAATCCTTGGACGCATCTAAGGACCAACCCCGGGGCCGTCACAGGGAGGTTTCTAATCCCAGGCAGACATTTGATGGATTTTTTCCTAATGACAGCCCCTGATCTTTAATTTGATGTGCTGGAGGGCAAAACATGGCCTGTTTCCTCAGGTATTTTGAAGGCGGCGTCTCATCTGTCTACCTCTGGGATCTGGATCATGGCTTTGCTGGAGTGATCCTCATAAAGAAGGCTGGAGATGGATCAAAGAAGATCAAGGGCTGCTGGGATTCCATCCACGTGGTGGAAGTGCAGGTACGGCTGCCCAGCAGTGGGCGCCCTGGCCAGAACAAGCAGCCCACTTGCCAGCAGATGCTTTTGGGGGGTGGCAGGATGTTGTGATCAAGAAGCCCTTCCGATGACAAGGGTCCTGGCACATGAGTGCATCTTCTGTCCCGTAGAAGCCAGCTGGGCTTGTGCAAGGAGGGGTGTGTGGTAGTGTCTTGGGAGAGGACCCCTTGGAAGGACCCTGGACCCTGGCCATGCCATGCTGTCTCAGTGGAGGTCGTGCCCAGGTTCTGATCTCCGTCTCTTCCCCTAGGAGAAATCCAGTGGTCGCACCGCCCACTACAAGCTGACCTCCACGGTGATGCTGTGGCTTCAGACCAACAAATCCGGCTCTGGCACCATGAACCTCGGAGGCAGCCTCACCAGACAGGTAGAGTCGCGGTGCCTACAGGTGCCAGCCTCAGAGCTGGGTGTCTGTCCCCTGCCCCCAGGCATGGGGCCAAGCGCTACCTGATGGCCCTCTCCCAGACCTGTCTTACTCCTGAGATTCAGCCATGGGCGATTTTGTCTTAGGGTCCAGGCGTCCACATTAAAGTGCTCCCATGAAGCTTGGGACGCACGTCTTACAGCACTTCAGAGCGACTGAGCTCCTAGTTGTCAGTTGCGACTCAATAACTTAAAGAAAAATGGAAGTGAGTCAGTTCACGTAGGTAAGAAGGCGCTGCCTCCCCTGCAGGAGGCTGGTCTTACCTTCTACTTCACATGCAACTTGGAGCAGTGAGGCAGGTCAAGACCCTTGTTTAAGGGCCCATGTTTAAGACCTTGACAGTCCCAGCCCAGGAAGGCTTGTGCCAGCGCAGCGGGTGCCTTTGGGTAAAGGGGGGGTGGGGTGGGGTACAGACCGGGCGGACCAGGCCTCGGAGGAGGCTGTGGCAGAAACGCAGCTTCTTGAGAAGGTCCTGGAAGGGCTCTCCCTGGGCAGAGATGCCTCCTCTTCCCACTCCACGAGTGCACAGCTCTGAAGTTTCTTTAACGTTGATGCTGCTTTTCATTAGGAGGATAGTTACACTTCTGATAGCCGTGAATATAAAAATATATGGATAACTCTGTCAAGTACATTTGTGTTGTAGTCAGAAAGGCATCTGCATCCGTTTGGAAAAGGGAACAGGCAGTTATGTTGTCAGCCCGTGGTCCTGGGGAGCAGGGGGAGCCTCCACACCCATGCTGTGCCCCAGGTCCCAGGCCAGGAGGGACTCTGGGGGTATCTTGTGGTCACAGGGGCAGAGCCCCTCCTTTGGCAGGAAATGGGCCCTTGTCTTCCAAGAACCCTTGGCTGGGGAGGGAACAGCTGAACCCCCAGGAGCCTGCGCCCCCGCAGCCCGCCTCCCCACCCCCTGCCCGCCACCTGGTGGAAAGTCCTGACTGTATCCGGAGACTGTTTCCTGCTTCGTTTACCAATCCGAACTGTTTATAATTCCACCCAGTTTACAGTGACCTGGACAAATATTTAATCCTCAGCCTTCCTAATAGTTTAAATCAGAGCTGTCAGCCCAGGGCCCGGGTCTGGTTCCGGCGAGCCTCCTGCCAAGCCAAACGCCGGCCTGACGGGCGGTGTCCTCAGCACACCGGCCGGGCCGCGGCCTTGTTTGGATTGCCTCGTGCTCTTTGGCTTTCATGAGGAAATTCATGCTTCTGTCATCATCCTAGCGGCCGGTCACATAACTCATCTGAGGCGCATTAGAGCCGGGGCGGGTTTCCAACGTAAGTAATGTAAAAGGAGGGCAGGGAAGCAACGAGAGACAGATCTCAGTGAATGGTGCGCAGCTTCTGAGCAAGCAGGGCAGTGGGGCTGTGGGTTTCGTGATGTGTCCCAGATGAGTCTTGGAACAACCTCTGTGGTTGCCTTGGGTGGTAGATGAAGGGGCCCAGGAAAGTCGAAAAAGTCAGTGATAAGGAGTGAACGCAGGTGGTGATGGGGGCCGGCTGCTTTGACTCGCCCGTGAACTGGCCGGTTCTCATTCCCAGTCCACAGGGGAGGAAACTGAGGTTCACACCGGTAAGCACTGAATCTCCTCGGAGCGGCAGGGCCAGGATTTGAGCCCAGTTTATCTGCCCACCTGAAAGAGAAACAGGCCGGGCTGCTTTCCCACACCAGGTTTTTGGTCTGAATCTGACCCCATGTGGCATTTAGAAGATGCCGGATAAACACTTGAACGGAATGGCACCGAGCATCCAGCTCAGTGCTGGTGGGACACCGCCCTGGGTTGCTGGAACTCTCCTGGCAGCTGTGCTGGGCCCAGGGTCCCCGGGGCAGCCTCAGCAGTGCCCCCTTGATTTAAGGTGCAGGAAGCACCGTGACCACAGGAGAGACATTGACCACCAGAGGCAGTGAGGTGGCTTTTCAGAGTTGGAAATAGTTGATTAGTCTGGTCAGATTTGTGTTTTCAGAAGATGCCTCTGCTGGCGTGGAGGGTGGGTAGCCAGGAGAAGGCTGCTAGAGACCCCAGAGAATTACCAGGGCCTGGGAAGGGGCAACCCCTGGGAGGGCTAGAGAGGACAAGCCTGTCCCCAGACATCAGTGAAGGAGCTGGTGTTGACCTTGGGGCAGGCAGTAATGAAGGCCAGAGGTCCTTGGGGGTAGCAGAGAAGGGGGGACAGGGCTTGGGTAACTCCAGGGCATGAGCACAGAGCGTAGGTGAGAGTCTTCCTCCCTTGAGCTCCTCTGTTCAGCAGTACTTGCAGTGACCCCGGCTGAGGCTTTTCCTCTGGAAACTGGGCCTCATCATATTCACACTTGCTCCGTGTGTGTCAGGAAGGAAGGGGCGCTGTGCCTGATGTCCACTTCGCAGGCCGTCCTGACCAGGAACACATACCCAGGCCAGCTGCCAGGACCGCGGGCTCCCAGTCCCACGTCCCATACACAGAGCGACCTGCCACCCCCAAGACAGGGTGGGGGCCGCTGGGCGCCTGTGCCCCAAGGTGGCACGTCCCAGAGCCTCCTCCCTTTCCTCTCTATCTCCAGAGGTGCCTTCCAGGCTTGGCCTCATCTCTTCCCACTTAGTTTAGGCGGCTTGTGGGGGAGCAGGTGAAGGAGGCGGAGCTGCTCTGGTGGGAAATGAGCGATGATGAATCACGGAGCCTTGGTGCACACCTGGTCCCAGCACTGTCCCCCATGGGCTCAGCTGCATGCCCGCTGTCTGCTCCTCCACGTTGGCCTTTGTTCCCCACCCCCGCTGACAGACGTCTTGGAGGGGTGTCAGCAGGAAAATGGAGCAGATACAGTGTCTTGGCCAAGCCCTGCAGCTGGGGGCTGTGGGAGGAAAGGTGAGTGGCGGCCCCGTGGGGTACAACAGCCAGATGGACCCTCCTGCCAGGTGCCCTTGGCAGGCCTCCCCTCGGGCCCGATGGGGCCGTCGTGGCGCCAGTAGAGCTTGTACAAGCCAAGTGCCAGGATGTTGAGAGGAAGTTGCGCTGCGAGGTCACTTCTGCGGTGTGACAGCTGGAGACGTAGGGAAGAGGCAAGGCCGTGAATCTCTGGAAAGAGATCCAAGGTTTCTGGTCAGGGATGGGCCCTGCAGATGTTCGTTTGATTTTTTCCCCCAGATTCTAAATATTTAGAAACGAAGGTGGAATGTCGTGTCAAGCATGGAAATGAGGATGTGTGTTTTCTAGCTGAGCCCCTCCCCGCCCAGCAGTAGGGACCAGTGATAGGTCTTCAGTGAGATGCCACCTGCCAGGGCGCGCTGCAGGGAATCCTCTCTGCCTTGGGCAGCTAGGCCAGGTGGGCAGAGGCCCCCAGCCTGCCTTCCAGACGTCAGGAAGCAAAAGGGATGGGACCAGGCTCGGGTTGTTCAGGGAGTGCTTCTCTGCTGGTGGAGGCAGTTCCTGCTCAGCCCAGCCCCATACACCCCAAGGCTTCCTGGGCCCCTCGGGAGACTCACAGCGTGGCTTCCAGGGACGGTTGGGTTTGGTGGCGTGACCTGCGGTGGAGTGACCCAGTGCTAGGTGAAGAAGGGAAGGCTGCATGAGACTGGTCCCTGCGTCTGTCCCCCACTGTGAAGGGCAGGCAGAAAAGGAAGGGACCAGAGATTCTGGGGGCAGGGAGGGCAGGGATGGACATAGCTCAGAATTTCCAAGCCCTAGATTGCAGTTTGTCCTGGGGTTTTTCTGATCAAGAATGTGGATGAAGTTGAGTACACAGAGAGGGAGGTCTCAGGGAAGAGAAGCAGTTTTGAAATCACCCAGACCTTGGTTCAGATCCTAGCGCGGCCACTTCCCAGCCGTGTGACCCGCGTCCCTTCTCTGAAGCCCAGCCTTTTCACCCTAGAGCGCATGCCTGTTTGGGAAGGTTATTGTAGAATACAAATAAGAAGCCATTTTGACACTTGGTTCCTGCTCAGTGAGTAATAGCTACCGCAGCCGCCACCACTATCTCACAGCAGAGACTTCCGTCGTCTAGAATATATACAATTTTAGGCCCAGTTAAAGTTTTCCTAAACTGGGCAGACCTAACCTTCCTTGAAAGGCTGTCTGACCACCTTCTTCTGGCTTGACGGCACGTTAAATCCTGGCACCCATCCCAGCCTCTTACCCAGGCTCAGATCAGCAACCAGGAGGACACCACTAGCTTCTGCCCGAGGGCCGGGGACCTGCAGAACCTGGGAATGGAGCTGCCACTCCGCCAGACACTTCCGGGCACTGCGCTCTGAGCTGATTTGGGCAGAAACAGGGAGATGGCCTGGACAGACCCAGCCCCCACCTGGGGCTGTGGAGCTTATTCCCCGCCCCTGCCCTGCATTGTGCTCTCTGGAAGATGCTGCCCCCATGGGAGATGATGCCACATGGTCCTTTTGAGGAAAGGGCCCCCTTTCCAAATACTGGACCGTATTGTCCTGTCTCCAGGCCAGAGAGGAGAGGAGCTTGATGGGGACAAGCAGGCTGGACTCTGACTTCAGACGCAGTTGGAACCACCTTGGAACATCTGTGCGGCCCCAGCACATAAAAATGTTTTCCTTCTGGCAGCCGCTTTTATAAGGATGTAATAATATATGCATTGCAAAAATAGTTCTGTTTTTGGTGTGTCAGCATTGCCAGCAAGCTGACCCTGACCAGGTGTGGAGGGGCGTGGGCAGGGGGCTATGGAAACGAGGCTTGCCCAAGGCCTCTGCCCCAGGCTGGCCCACTGGGTCTTTTCCTTGAGCCCAGATTCCTGCCATGAGCATAGGGGCCCCTGTGTCCTCCTAGGGTGTCTGTCTCGGAGGACCCAACCTTCCTATTTTCCCTCCTCTGCCTTCCAGATCTTTCTTACCTTTGAGCACCCAGAGGCTTTAGCCTTTCCATTCTGGGAAGGTGGCCTCGGCACCAGAGTACAGCGATAAGCCTGAGAGGTTGCCCTGCTGGTGCGACTCTCACCCAGGTGGCCCAGACGCCCTTTGGCAGTCCAGTGGTGATAGGTGCGTCTCTAACATGGCTCCTCAGCTCAGAGCCCCGGCGGTGCTGCCCCAGTGGTGTATGTGCTAGAGCTGAGGTATGGGGGAGGTCACCACCACTTTCAGGTTCATGGCACTTTCCCTGTTGCTTTGTAGGGGGTCCTTGAAGGTCTCTGAGTATTGAAACTCCCCGAAGAACACCTGGGAAAGTTCAGGCCTGGTGTGGGCAGAGAAGCCGTTATTCTAGCCTGTCTCCCCCTTATCTGTTTGATCAGTCCTCGCTCTGATGAGATTAGTTTGAGAAATTTGAATGTACCTTGCGAAGCCTGGATTGCCACCTTGCACTGGTCCCCTTTGGGCCATCTCTGATGGGGGCCATCCCGTCTCCTCAGACAGGTCCCATGATCTGGGGCACGTGGCTTCACGGGCCGCCGCAGTTCTGTCACCCAGGGTGCCCCCTCCCCACAGCTGAGACCCGGTGCTCACCCTGCCAGAGCTCTGCTAGGGCCTCCTAAGGCATCGAGGCTGAAATGGCCCCAGTTCTTCCCTATTTCTTTTCATTGAATGAACCATGGCTCCGAATCCAGCCCTGCGGGTTTTGCCAGGCCACGCAGGAGGGCAGCCGCTGCCTCCTAGAGAGGGATGGCACCTGGCGGCTGAAGTGGCTGATGGGAGCTGGGGTGCTGCCTAGCCGGGTGCCCAGAGTGGATTTACCATGGCCCTGAGGTCATGTCACAGCGGTGGCAACAGCCACGTGGCGTTTCGTCAAACCTGAGGTTATCCAAAATCCAGGAACAGCCCCCAGGGAATCTCCCCTTGTTGTGCTCAGCGGGATGATAGGAGTGTTTGGGCCCGTGTCTGGCTGCGCTTGCTGGTAGATGTAGCTGGTGCCTGGGGCAGGACATGGAGGCGCTGGGGTGTGATGGCCCAGTGCTGTAACCTGAGCAGGTTGCTGGACACCTTCATGCTTCCGTTCCTTGGGGTTGAAACAGGGCTCTTAGGACAACAAGGCAGGTGCTGGTGGCTGCCACCTAGGAAGCACTCGGCACTTGCAGCTGCTGACGTCCACCCTCGGGGCTGTCAACTGGATGCCCCTGCCCCTCACTGCTCCTTCCTTTAAGTGCCAAACAGGTCAACCCGGGGCCAGGCAGTGTCTGGTGGCTGGTGGCACAGGCCACCTGGGGGCGTGGCCTCTCTGGCCCCTCCCCCTCAGCCAGCCCTACGTTTGGCGATGCTGCAGGACAGCAGCCAGGGAGCCTCCTCTTTGAAGGAGCCCCTGTGCGTCCAGCAGAGCACCCCATCAGGATACAAAACCAGAGGCTCTCAGGGCGTGGCTTGTTCACAGTAAGCCAGGGCTGCCTCCCATAGATGCCAGCGATTCCATCAGGACCGGTTGTGTGGATCCACGTCAGACCAGTGTTCCCCTCCAGCTCTCATCTCCTTTTACATCGCTTCCCCCCATGACTGGGGGACCCTGGGCACCTGCTGGCTGCCTCTCAGTGAACTGCAACAAGTACTGTGTGCTTCGACTTCCCCACTCCTGCATCTTGCCCCCGAGCTGCCAGTGGGGAGGACAGACTCTTTGCAAGCCGTGAGAGTGGCCTGTGCCCTCAGCAGAGGCTGTGGTTCTCCCGGAGCACCCAGCTTTTCCTGACTTAGAGGAATGTTTTTGTCTTTTGCAGATGGAGAAAGATGAAACCGTGAGTGACTGCTCCCCACACATAGCCAATATCGGGCGCCTGGTAGAGGTGAGTGGGCCTCCGGGAGCTCTGGGCCCGACTGAGGCTGGCGTCCCTGCTGTGACAGTTCACCCCTGAAGCCTGTTTCTCATTTTTGCCCCGGCCTCGTGTTTTCTGAGCCTTCTGATCTGAATGCTGGCGGGGCTCAGCTCCGAAACAGACACCCAACCCCACCCACCCAGCAAGCGCCCGAAAGTTGGCTCAGAAAGACTCAGTCCTGCCTCGCCCATTCCACGGGGTGCAAGCAGGGACCTGAGCTCGGAAAGGAAACGGGTCCCTGGAAGTTAGGGGGCTCTGGAGGCTCTGTAGCTGCGGCCGCAGCCACCCCGCACTAGAGGAAAGGAGTTGCTCTCCGGTGTCACAGAATCAGTGGACAGGCCGGGTGGTGATGTGGTTTAGACCAGCTCCCAGTGATGGTTGGCCTTGGCTGCTGGTACCTGGGCTGACTTCCTCTTGCCTGCGATGGGAACGCTCAGAGCCAAGTCCAAGCTGGGGTCTTGGCCCCAGGGGCTGCTCGGCTCAGCTCACAGCTGCACACCTCCCCCGTGTGGTCACAGTGGGTGCTGCAGGCCAGAGCGGGGCGGGCGGGCGGGCCGGCCCAGGGCTCCCGCAGGCCCTGTGTCTGACTGATCTCCCTTCCTAGGACATGGAAAATAAAATCAGAAGTACGCTGAATGAGATCTACTTTGGAAAAACAAAGGACATCGTCAACGGGCTGAGGTAAAGTACCGAAAATTGCAGGCAGACGTAAATGCTACGTTTAATAGCTCCATGGCCACCTCATTTGTGAAGCAGGGCAGAAGTGCCGATCCCATAGGCTTCATAAGCAGATTTTGAAGGTGAGGCACAGAGATGATGCCTCCCAGCAGATGCTGCTTCCTTTCTCCCATTGGAAGCCTGTTCGTGACCTCCCTTGATCCCCCAGCTTATCTGACCCTTTGAAGGAATCTGCCTAGTCCCTTTGACGCTGCAGCCTGAGGGTGCCCCAGACCAGACCCCTGGGTGACCAAGCCTCTTCTGGGGCCTGGGTCTCAGGACAGCAGAGTGTGTCCTACAGTCCTGCTGCACTCTAGGTTGCCGCGGCCACCCTGATGTCCTCTGCTGGGCACAGTTGACTGTGGCCCTCCTGAGCTCCCCCACTCCCCACCTGTCTTGTGCCCTGGGGCCTGCAGCATTGCCCAAGTGAATGTTGAAGGGGCTCTCTGGGTCTTCAAGGCCCGTGATGAGCAGAACCCTCTGGGGTGCTGTAGAGGTGACTGGTGAGCACTGGCCTTGGACTCAGGTGGCCAGGATCTCACACAGCATCACCTGGGCTCTGCATCACCTCAGCATCACCTCTGAGGAGTCACTCCTCGGTGGATGAGGATGAGGGATCGAACGAGATGATGGAGCCTGTACTCTCCATCCCACCCCCATGTGCGTCCAGGGGTCACGTTCTGCCCTTGGCTCTCAGGCTTCTCTGCCCCATCCTATGTACAAACAAAAGTTTCAGCCCAAAAGGAGAGGCAGGAAGCAGCCCAGGGCCTGCCCTGGCTTGTGACTTCGTCCAGGAGGAGACAGATTTGGTCTCCTGCTCCACAGTTTTCCCACCTGCCTGTGGAGAGCTTGGTCTGGCCCTGGTGGGCTTGGCCCCCCTCCCCAGCAGCGTTGCTCTCCTGGGATTGTTGAGCCAGAGGCCGCGTAAGCTACCTGTGCCCTGTGTCCTGGCCAGCAGGGTAAGAGCCCAGTGGTCCCCAGCATCAGGCCTGCTCCCTGGGGCTCTCCTGCCCCCCACCCCCACACATGATCCCTGGGCAGGGGCAGAAAAGTAGGGGGGGAGACAGAGCCTGTCTGCAGGTTGGGGTTGTGAGACCTTTAGAAGCATTGGAGCCCATCACCCCCTCGGCAGCCCCAAAGCAGCGTGGCCTTGATGACGCCCCCTCTTTCCTACCTTGTGTGTCCCTGTATTTCCTGTCGCTGTCGTCCCCTGTGCTCCTGGACCCTGTCGCCCTCCCCTCCCCACTGCGCTCACTCTGAACACTCTCTGTAGATCTGTTGACGTTATCCCTGACAACCCAAAGTTTCAGCAGTTGCAGCGGGAACTTTCCCAAGTGCTGACCCAGCGCCAGATCCACATCCAGCCTGATAATTAAGCCGATCCAGGTACCCTGCCTGAGAGGCGTGAGCACCCTCCCCACTAAACAGGACTCACCAACCTGCCGAGACCCCGCTGGTCCGGCTGTTGCGGCGCGGCCGTGTAAACCACACTAACCCTGTGCCGTCTCGGGCGGTGAGCGGCCCCGTGGCGGGTGGACAGCCCGTGGGCCCCTGGCACGTGTGCGGTGTGCTTCACAGGGTGTGGTGGGGGGAACAGGATGTAGGCAGGCAGCAGGTTTTGGCTTTCACTCCTGGGGAAGCCCAGTCTGGGGGCGAACTGCCTCAGGCAGAACCGCTTATCTGCACTGCTCTGAGGGCCCCAGGACAAGGGGCTGCACCGGCTCTTCAGTCGTCGCTGGGCAGCCTTCTGAATCTGGTGTGTGCGGCCAGGTCCTCCCTGGCTTTCTACCCAGAAGCCGAACAAGCCCCATTCTTGGTGCAGTGGACTCCTGGGGACAAACTGACTTGAAAAGGAGGTTGTGACTCCAGGTCTGAGGTTGGAGCAGAGCCAGGGCGGTTACCCTCCGGCTGGGCCCTGTGCACCCCCAGATTGGTGCTGCCAGAGCTCCCTGGGCCAGCATCGCCTTCGCTCTAATGAGCTGCAGCTGTCCTCTTAAACGCCTTGTGCTGACGGAAAGGAAAATAGTCTTGCTTGTTGGTAATGGCCGAAAACCATGACTTGAGCTGGTGACAAATCCAGATGTGTGAAAGCAGCCTGCATCCTGGAAAGGAGGGAAGCTGGTTTTCAAAATAAGGCTTTTGGAAACCCAGCCAGGCAGGGCTCAGGGGCTTAACCCCCGACCCAGGGGCTGGACGCTGAAAACCCAGTTCAGAGACACTCACTGGGTGCCGGGGGCACCTGTGTCCAGGGAAAGCTGCTCTCCTGGTATCCTTGGGACTTCGGCGTACAGGTCTGGTCTGTGTGTGACTAGCTTCAGGGCCAGGTGACCTGTCGTTTCCAGTTCATGCCGGGACCATCACAGCGTCATCACGGCCTAAGATACCTGGGACTGCGCCATTTTCTCCCCATCGCCTCTGCTTTTAGGGTGTAGAGTCTTCTGGATCCCTGCCTTAGCCTGTCCCGTGGTCGCACACTGGGAGCTTTCCAGCAGGGATGCCCCCCGCGGCCCTGTGAGCAGGCAGCCTGGTACCCCAGCGTCTGCCCAGGGACAGGTCCTCCCTCCCACACCAAGAGCGTGCTTCCTCCAGGCCTTGGTTCCAGATTGCTTGGCAATGACCTTGCCAGACTTTGTCCCCAGATGAGTGCCCTGTGCCTCCTACCCGCTGCTGCTCCAAGCCTAACCTCAGGCCTCTTATCTGACCCCAAAGCTGCTTCTGAGTCTGAAACTTCTTTGCGAGCCTGGTATGCTCAGCTTCTTCCCAAAGAGTCAGCACCCCCATGGGTGCCACTGCCGCCCCCTCCTGGGGCCGATCCTGTCCCCCTCCCCTGGTGCTTCCCCAGCAGCCCAAGGCTGGACTGGTGAGGTCTGGAGTCTGAGGCCACCGGGGCTGCCGCAGAGCCAGGGGCAGCCCTGGGCAGAGACGCATGTTTGGCAACATTGACCAAAAGTGTCTGCCTTTCCTGTGGGGATTTTTTCTAGTTCCATAAAGGCTTCGAAGTCTTGTTATGCTTCCCTCTTGCTACTCCTGAGCTCCTTCCTGTGAGTTTTCTGGATTGACCAGCCAGAATTCAACCTGTGAAGCTGCTGTTTCTCTTGGGTCCTACTTCATTTTCCTTCACCCGTTTTCGGTCTTGAGGGGATTTTTTCACCCACCTTCTCATTCCTCTTTGCAGGGTCCTTCCAGCTGGGGGTTTCATGCACGTCCTGCCCACTGTCTTAGAAAGCATGCGAATAGTGTTCATAAGTTCATGGTCAACCAGCACGCTGGGTAAACTGGACAGTGACCCTGTGGGCTGTTGTCGGGGGCATTGCCCCGGCCTGTTTCCTCTTCTCTAAATTGGGGGTTTTTATCTTCGTCCCCGGTAGGGTGGTCAGGCGAGTTCTCGTTGCGGGTCCTCCAAGTCAACCAACTGCACGAAGCATGGCAGACCACGGTCCTGAGATTCCTCCCCCCTCCCCGAGTCTGGGACTCGGCCCAGCAACCAGGCCTGCAGCTCAGCCCTGAGCTGGCCCCTCCGTGCAGGGAGCACCTTCCTTGAAGCTGTGCTTTGGCCGTGAACCCAGTGTGCTCAGCTGTCCAGAGGCGCTGGTTCTTAAACACATGCTGAGTAGGGGGCACCCCTGCACCCTGCACTTAGGCAGGGGTGTGGTGGGGAGACCTTAGAGCAGATTCCTCGTGGCCCAGTGTCTCTAGCCCCTTAACTCAGAACTGCCCGGAGGGTCTCTGCTGTGTGTGCCTGGAGGCCCAGAGCTGCCTTCCAGTTGGCTTCAGCTCCTGTGCCCGGAGGAGGGGTGGCTGCGGCCAGGCATCTGTTAGGCAGGCCAAGTGCCTGCCCACAGTGCCCAGTGTGGAGCTGAGGGCAGCTGCCAGGCCTCCAGCACGGGAGGAGGAGCCGTGCCCGGCCTGGCTCCTCGCTGCCACACCTCTGCCCGTGAACCTAATAGTGCTTTTCCTCCCTGGCAGGTCTGTGCAGACTTTTGCAGACAAATCAAAACAAGAAGCTCTTAAGAACGACCTGGTGGAGGCTTTGAAGAGAAAGCAGCAATGTTAAGTCCCCGCTTCATGCTCACCGGGCACCGTGCGCGCATTAGAGTCCTTTCTTAGAAAACTCGTTTTCTGCTCCCTGCCCTCGATCCTGCCCTCCCGACAGGTCACGTAACAACTCGCATCACGACGCACCGTGCCCGCTCTCCCGAGAATAAAGCCCAAGAAACGCCCGTCTCCGTCTCTGCGGCCTACTTCCCGCCACATTTTGCTATCAAAACTTGGTATTTCCATAGAGACCGTGTGCTTTTTGTTTGCCCCACCCTCATCTCCTCCCCACCCCCATTTATAGCATAAAATACACTGTCCGTCTGCCTCCCCTCCCACCTTTTTGTTACATTGGTGTAAAAAATGTAAAACAAAAAAATTTTATGAAATAACTCTGGTGTGTGAAAGAAGAAAAACTGGAAATCTGATTCCATGTGTGTTTGGGAGTTGCTTGGGGTGGGCCTTGGGGACAGGGGGCAGCTCCAGGAGCAAGGAGAGGCGTCCCCAGCATCGTCCTGCACAGAGTGGCCCCTGTACCACAGAGACCACATTGTGGGGGGCGGGGAGGGAGGGGGTGGGGGCCTGCTGACCGTTCTGCTCTTCTGGCCAGGTGCTTTTCTGTCAATTTTTATGGAATGCAAAAGGAGTTTTTGTTTTATTTTGTTTTTTGTAAAGCTTAAAAAAAAAATCTACATCTTATACTTGAGCTTCCATACTTAAAAAAAGGAAAAAAAAAAACAAAAAAATAAAGAAACTGGGAACACAGCCGTGGCCTTGTGTTCTTCTAGCCTGTCTCCCTTCCCCAGGCGTATGCGGCCTTGGCCTGAGGGCTCACCCGAGGCGGGGGCAGAGGAGGGCTGGGACCCACACCTGAGTGAGGAGAAGAGGGGGCCTTGCAGAGCCTGGGGCTGCTCGGTGTGCCCCCCCCCCCCGCCCTGAAGAGCTACAGACACTTCTGGTCATACCAGGTAAGTGGAGGTGGGTGCTCCCTGGGCACCCTGCTCCCAGCTCTGCTCCCCAGATACCTGCTGGGTGCAGCTGCCTCCATCTTTACCTAATACCTCACAACCACACAACAGATGCTCCCCACGCTGCCTCCGGCGGGGAGCCAAAGTGTTGGGTCAGGGGCCGGGTTGACACCGGGTCCTGGGATTCCCCGACTCCTTGGTCCTGGCCACAGCCAGGCTTATCTGTCAGTAATAGATGGGGACAGGTTGGTGGTTGCCAGAGGGTGGGGTGGGGAAGGTTAAAAGGTCCAGACTCAGTTATGAAACAAATTGTGTGGGTGTGGCGTACAGGAGGGAGTATGGCTCATGGCATATTTGAAAGTTGCTAAGAGTAAATCTTAGAAGGTCTTAGCACCAAAACAAAGGGTTCTGTATAGTGATGGGTGGTGACTGGACATGGGTTGGTCATCTGTCTCCCCACTGGGAAATATCTAATCACTATGTTCTAATCATTGTTACACACCTGAAAGGAGTAGTGTTAGGTGTTGACTATACTTGTTTTATTTATTTATTTATTTTAAAGATTTATTTATATATACAAGAGTGGGGTACAGGTCAGAGATGTGGGGGGTGAGAGGATTCACCAGAGACAGAGTGGGGAGCAGAACAGGCAGACTGACAGTAATACACTGCTGAGGGGAGCAGCGGGCGAGACAGGAGCGGTCTGCTGCACCATGTGGGTTGCTCCCTGGTTGGCCAGGGATCGAACTCATGCTGCAGAGGCTGCGAATTGCTTCATAGTGCGGTGCTTAACCCTTTGCGCCACCAGGGAGGACCTATACTTGTTTATTTTTTAAAAAAACTTACTAACTTCACTGCAAATATTTTGAGACCTGTGTTACTGGGTTTGCCATTCACTTTCCTGCCTGTTAGGAAGTAAATAATCTATTTCTTTAGAACTAAGTGGTATTTTCTCTTGTTTTACAAAACTTGGTATAATAGTATCATTTCAGATTATTAGATTAGCTTTTTAAAAAGATGAAGTTCAGAATTCAAATATTTCATATAAGCCCATAATTTAGAGAAATTAAGTTTCTGAAGTATATTTAAATGGGCTACAATATATTTAAAGTTTCATTGGAATTTTACCTTTCAAAATACAATGTGATGCTCAGGATGCACAGACCACTTAGTTCTGACCTGTCTAGTGGAGGACATCCTTTACTCACCCCAGTCAGCACCAGATCCCCACAAACCTTAGGCCTTCAGATGACTCTGTCATGACTCTCTGGATGCCTTTGTAATGACTAGTTAATTATAAGTGTTGCAAGATATACTGTTATCTGTTATTTTACACAGCTTAGTGAGCTATAATTCACATGCAAGTCACCCATTTAAAGTGTACAAAGTCCGTAGTTCTGTGCTGGTTTCTTACACACTTGTGTCATTCACCAAGCACTTATTGTGAGCCTACCGTGCAGAACACTGGTGGGTAGGGAGTCGGGATCAGAAACTATACAAGGTTGTTAGCAACAGTGGTCTTTATTGAGCAGTTACATGTGCTGGAGTGGAGTTTCCTCTGGCCGTCCCAGGGCTGGGACTGATTTGTAGTTAACAGTTGAGTTAATCCCCAGCAAAAGGCAAACACTCCCCCACCCCCGTCCCCCCCTCCACACACACACACCCCAACACTAATACTAACCTGATCAGGTCATTGCTAGGACACTGGAGATGGTCAGGGCCAGGCACCGGGCTGGTACCCAGGGACCTCTGAGGGCCCCACCTTTAAGCCGCCATGAAAGCCAAGTGCAGGGGAGAAGGGTTGGAAAGAGCAGTGAGTGGTAGACCTGTCCCTTCTCTCTGCTTCAGGGACTAAGGCCGCAGTGCCTGAGCAGTGGTTTCAAAAACCTCCGGGTTCACTAACCAAGAACCCCGGGCTGGGAGGGCCTGGGGCTGAGCGCTGGGGACTAGGCCTTGGCGAAGACCACCGCCTGCCAGCCAGGCATTTTCGTACATAGCGTCTCTTTCAATAGTTAAAACGGCACCCACTACAGTAGACAACTTGGGGTGGCTAGTGTAAAGGGCACCAGAGCTGGCTTCAGCCCCCCACCAGCTTCCTGAGGTGGGAGCCCTCCTGCATAGAGTCAGCGTGGCACCGCTTTCCTCTGCTGAGTCTGGGTCTGAAGCCAAAATGCAGAGCTCTGCTATGCTCACATCAGGCCAGGAAGGATCCAGGGGATCCCTTGTCCCTTTGGGCCACTCCTATAGAGGAGGACCCCACCACCCCTTGCCTGAGGCAAAGAGCAGGCAACATGATCCTGCGGAGAAAGGAAATGCACCCAGGGCCCTGCCATCTCAGGGACTCCACCCAGGGCCATCAGAACCCGCCAGCCCGCCCAGCCCTCCCCGCTCGGGAGGAACCTGGGGAGGCTCTGGGTAGCGCCGTCAAAGTGGAACGTTGCCATTACTTATGACCACGTCTGGTGCTGGTGCAAGTCTCCAGGCCCATCCCATTTAACCGCCATAACCACCTCCATCAGGGTGCTCCCTGGGGGCAGCAGCCTCCTCCCCCATCAGCTTGGGGCTTCCTAAGGGAGGAGCCACGGCAGAGCCGACTGGGCAGTGCCTGAAAGCAGCAGCTATTACCCATCACCCTGGGTGGTTCCCAGGAGGAAGAGAGTAAGTCACTCCTGTTAGATGGGGGCTTCCCTGGGCAGGGACTAAGAGACATCAACTCTCTGCCACCCAGCTGAGGTTTAGGTCCACGTTTGGGACCATACCAGCCATACCAGCCTAGCAGGCAAGGAGGGTACCACCTGGCCTCAGGTAATTGGCATGGAGCCCCACCTCCACACTGGACCCTGGGTGGCAGATACCTGGCTGGCAAAGCGCACCTGAACCAGGCCAGGACCAGAGCCAGCTGGGGCCTGGGGCACCTTTTGCTGGGACAAAACCAGAGGCTTGGACAGTGGGTGGCCCCTGAGGGCAAGGGTGAGGCTGCAACCCTGGACCCCTAGCCAGGAGGGGAGGGGACTGTGAGGGCCCTGCCAGGTCTGGGATGCGCCTCGGGTGGTTCAAACAGCTCCCGCTCCTAGTTGTGCCACCCCGAGTGGGTTAATTCCTGGAAGCCTGCTTGCCCACCTGTAAATGGCCATCCTACCTTAGGGGGCTGTGAGGGCTGGAGAGCCCAGCTCAGGTGCTTCAGCTGCTTGCAGGGGACACCTGAGCTATGCAGGCAGCCCAGGACAGGGCTGGGGGAGACTGGCTGTGCCTTCCCTCACTGCCCTCCTGAGCCTCAAGGTGACCCCACTGGGTTGCTCCAGATCCCAATTCCTGCCTCCACTTCTCCCAACCAAACCCAGTCAGCCCCTGTCCTCACATCTTTCCCTTCTGCCTTCAGAGTCAGCTCCAGGCCCCTCTTCCGTGTAGCCCTCCCCAGCTGAGCTTCCCAGGGCTGGTCTCGTTTCTATGGAACTTTGTACCATCCAGCCCAGCTCTTACACCAGGGCCTGGCCACTGTTTCCCCACCATGAGGGCAGGGAGCAGAGCTGCTTCACCATCCCAGCTCTGCTGTGCTCCGCAAACATTCATGTCACCTAACTGGGCTGTGGCACCCCCTCTCGGTGAAGGCTATGGCCCTGCTGCCAGGATCCTTTCTCTGGAGCCAGAAAAGGAAGATTCTAGAAGAAAGACAAAAGTGCTGCTTATCTCCCCTGCCAGCCCACCCAGATGGCTCTGGGTCCTGGGAGACTTGGTGGGGTATGTGGGGGTGAGATGAGGGCAACACCAAGGGGAGCTGGCCTGTCCTAGGGCACCCATGGGGGTGGGGCAATAGGAAATGGACATGGAATGGGGGCTGGGGGACTAGCCAAGACTGGGGCCCAGGAACCAGAGCTAGGGCAGAGCTCTGCCCTCCTCTTCCTCTTGTCTGAAACATTCCCCACCTGGTTTTTTCCTGCTCACCTTTATGCCCTGTCACCTCCTCTAGAAAGGTCTCCTGGATCTCCAGGGAGAGCTGCATGTCCGTCGCCTCCAACAAAAAATGACCTTTATTTTTAAAAAGTCATTCCAGACTTTGGGGCTAAACTCTGTGATCACACCATTTTACAAGGGCATATAAAGTGGTACCCACTTCACAGCTGAGGTACCCGAGCCCCAGAGAAGCCAAGCCATGGAACCCAGACCTGAGCCTTAATTGTCCTGCTTCCCTGGAGTGCTGCAGGGCAGGACCCTGTCAGAGTATCATTCCCACTGGCACCAGGTGTGGGGCATGCCACAGAGAAGCGGGGTGAAGCCACCTGAGGCCCCGGGAGGCTGGGCCGGGGTTGGCCAGCAGACTCGGCCTCCAACTGCTCTTCTCTCCACATCCTGACCCTGTAGGGCCCCACCTGGGAGCTGGGGCGCAGATTCCCAACTACCACTGTGCCCAGAGCAGCCCAGATGCCCAGCGTGCTGGGGAAGGAGCAACAACATGCCTCGAGGGAGATACCATTTACTAGGGTGTCTGGAGGCCACAGGCAGCCCTGGGTGTGGGCGGCCACTGCGCCCCTCCCCAGGAGAGCAGAATGAGGTAGGTGAGCCGGGGGGGCAGCCATGCTGTCGAGAGACTGGGGTCCCAGCTGCCGCCCTTCCCTGAGCTCCCTGGGACAGTGCCCCGGACCCCGGAGTCGGCCCCAGAGCGGGTGTACTGGCCTGGGGGGCTGACTTGCCCGTAGCAGTCAGTCCATGGGGATTTTTGGGGGCTGGGAGAGGCGGCTAGGCCTGGAGTTCTAGGCTGGCCCCGGCTCCCTGCATGGCCCAGGCCAGCGCCAGCAGCACCTTCACTGCCCACACTTCTCTCTTCCTGGGTGCAGCCTCTGGAGGTCGCTGTCATTCTGGGCTCCGCCTGGGGCCTGGTCAGCTGGGGAGCAGGGGCTGGCGCTCTGAGGAGGTGGCGGTGTTGGCGGCGTTCCTGTACACCAGGAACTGTATAGAGATCTGGCGGGGCCAAAGTCAAGGCCAAGCAGAGCAGAGACTGGGCTGGACCTGGCGCTGGGGGCTGCTTCCCTCTTCCCAACCTCTCAGCCCCTCTGGGAGGTAGAAGGGTCAGCCATGACCTCTGCTATAGCCGCACCGTCCACTTGGAATGCCTCCCTGCTCCTCAACCCCTAGCCACACTCCAGCACCTTCCAAGCTCAGCGCTGGGCCCAGGATTTAGCATTCCTCCCAACCTACAGCATCCTGGGGGTTTCACCAGTGGTGGGGGCCACGGGGGCAATAGAGCTTCAGCTTCTCTTTCTCATTGCCCCAAAGAATCCAGCAAACGTTGAAAGGCCATGCTACCCTGCCCAGCAAGGCTGAAGTCGCGCCCTGTTCAGTCCCTGAGCAAACACTGACTGAGCATTCGCTGTGGGGGCTGGGCACTGAGTGTTTCCACATACCTTATCTTAGCTAATCACCCCATTATGCTGGTGAGACAGTGCCGTTAGCCCCGCCATGCAGATGACGAAACAGAAGCAGAATTTAACCCCAAGGTTTTGTGACACTCACGTGTGTCTCCATGTTTCAACTTTTACTCCTTTGGTCTGAATGGGCTGGTTCACTCCTATTCCTCAGGGCCTTTGCACAAGCTGCATCTGGAAATCTCCCTTGCCTTTGCCTCTTCTCCCACAGGGCAGTTTAAATGGCTTTTGGTGGAGGCCTCTGCTGAGTCTCTGAACCAGGACACCACACAGTTCTGTGCAGCAGTAATTACTTGATAAACGTGTGTCCTGGCTGTCTCCCCAGTGGGCTACAAGGTCCCCTAACCAGGAGCTGTTCTGTTCTTGCTCACTACCAGATGCAGTGCCCAGTGGGGCACAGGGGGTTTGACTTCTGGATGGATAGGTGGGAGGGTGGACGGATGGGTGGGTGGATGGAAGCCGACACTGTTGCAGGCAGAGGCTGCTGTGCCCAACCCACCCACCCAACCTGCCCGCACACCAGAAGGATACGATAGTGTCAAGCAGCAGCACGCCCAGGCTGCCCACGAGCCAGGGCAGGTGGTGCAGCAGGTAGCTGCCCTCACTCTGGCCCTCCTCGGGATTCTTGAGCAGCACACTCAGCCCATACAGCGTGTTCCCCAGCATCACCAGCGCAAACAGTGAGTAGGAGATGCCCTGGGTCGACTTCCGCAGGAACTGGAGGGAGTGAGGGTGGAGTCACGGGCCTTGAACCAGGCTCTCCTCTGGAGCGTCACTGCCCACCTGACGTGTCTGTGCACCCTGAGCTGACTCGTCACTGGTGCCCAGTGTGCACGCTGCGCCTGGCTCACAGACCAGCCCCTCCCAGGCCTGACGCTGACCCCACTGCTACCAGCTCTCTCAGGTCCACCCACGTCTGCTGGCAGCACTGGCGTGGCACCCTTGTTGGCTCAAGATGCCCCGATCGCCAGCCCTATGCTGACTCTTGGTGTCCAGCAGGTCTCCATCGTGCTTCCCCACCTTCCCCTCTCCTTGCAGGCCCCTGAGTTCACCTCCTATTTCCCCGAGACACAGAGGTCACAGGTGCCCCTCAGGGGCTGGCATCATCAAGCCCACTTTTCAGAGGCAGAAACTAAGGCTTGGAGAAATGGGCTAAAGTCCCCAACACCCTGGTGACTACACCAGACTTTCTGACCAGGCACCCCACACCATGCTGCTCCTTAGCCGTGGGCCTAGGTGCCAGGGCCGCGCTTTTCCACTGCTGCCCCTCTCCCCGCGGGGCTCACATTGGTGCGGATCTGGGGCAGCCGGGACAGCAGGTACAGCACGCTAGAGATGGAGCCAATGACGAAGCCGATGATCTCCTGCCGAGTGAAGGGCTGAGAGGGCAGAGGGGCTGCTCAGGGTGGAGGGGCTGCAGGAGAGCAGAGACCCCTTCCATCCCGGGACTGAGCAAGCTTCAGCCCCCCTCTACTGGAGGTCCCGCCACCTCACCTTATTGCCCGGCTCCACAGACAGGAGGGTCCGCCCCCGAAAGACCTCTCTCGGGGCGGCCACAGAGCCAGCACCAGCACCGCTCAGCAGTGGGGTGGTACACACCACCCCCAAGAGGAACAGGAGCACGGAATTGATGGGGGTAGACACTGGACAAGAGGCAGGAGGGAACCGAAGTTAGGGCTCTCCCAGGCAGCAGACTGGGGCTGGAGTCCTGGCCGGCCGGCCCCTCCGTGGCTGTGTGACCTTGAGCTAGTGATCTAAAGTCTCTGAGCTTTTGCCTTCCTCTATAGAATGGGTCTAACAACAGGACCCTTCTCCTGGGGCTTGAAAGGTCAAATGATTAACAGCAAAGGGGTCAGGAGAAAGGTTACCAAAGAGAAACCCCCACCCTCTGCGAGGAGCTGGCCAGGTCTCGTAAAGCCCTCCATCTGACCTTGGCTGCGGCCCCTCCCCAAGGGCCGTGATGACCCTTGAGGCTGAGGCCTGCGTGCGCATGTGTGCTGCATGAGAACAGAGTGTAGGGAACGCCCTGCGGTGCTGCCGGATGCGCTCACTGCCCGAGAGTCTATCTGCTGCCCTATCCTGGCCCATCGGGACCAGGCTTTCAGATAAGGCCCAAGGAAGCCTTCAAACTTTCGTTTATCAGCCAGCAATGGAAACCATTTCCTCCCATGCTCCCCCACCAGCTGCCCCAGTCCCTGCCCCAGTCCCTGCCCCAGAGGGCCACACACTCACAGAGGGAGGGGCGTTTCTTGAACTTGTAATGGAAGTACAGCGACAGCATCAGCAGGTCGGCCAGGACGTAGTACACCGCCGTGTAGGTCTGCGAGAGAAGCCGGGGGCCTGGGTGCTGGCTGCAGCCCCAGGCGCTGGGGACCCCACCTCTGCATGGGCTCACGGCTCTGCCTCATCCCAGCTGGGTGACCTTGAGCAAGTCACTGCCCCTCTCTGTTTCTGTTCCCTCCTCTGGAAAGAAGGGGTTACGGCTCCCACAGGGCAGAATGAGAGCTCAGGTAGGTCCAGGCCTGGAAAAATGCCTCCAGGGCAAGAGGGGGGAGCTACAACAGGCCTGGGGAGCGCCTGGTGAAGTGGTATGGCCTGAGGCAAAAGCAATAATGACTTTACAGGCCTGCCTGGGGAGACTGGATCCCTGACTGTGACCCCGGCTCTGTGCATCACAGCTGGTACCTGGGCTCTCCAGGGAGACTTTCCTCCTTCAGACCCCTCTCCCCTACACACACCATCCTGAAAGCTGAGGACCATAAGCCACAGCCATCCTCTGGTTCCATGAGCTCATGTCATGGAGAGAGGCAGCAACAGCTGTCACGCTGTATGGCAGAGAGCGCTCTAACGTGTGGGGCCCTCAGGACACGGAAGAGGGGGGGTCAGGGCTCTGGAGCCCAGGCGTCTCCTGCTGGCCACCCCCAGCCCTCTGCCATGGCTGTCCTGGGCAGCCGCCCTGGCCCTGGCCCCGGCGCACCTGCAGGGGCAGCTGGTCAGCAAGGAAGGAGCCGATGAGATTGCAGGAGTCTCCGCCGATCCAGCCCAGGAGGAACCACAGGGACAGGGCCTGGTCCATGTTGCCCACCTTGCAGGCCTTGATGTACTGGCTGTGGCAGAGGAGGCAGACACACGGTCAGGGCCGGCGCCGAGCTGCTGCCTTGGAGGGTCAAGGACAGAACAGCTCAGGACAGGAGGACCATGGAATAAGGGGACGGAGGCCACTGGGCGCCAATCCTCCGTCCCATAAGCAGGATCTTCTTTAGTCTGTCTTTGCCCTTTGAGGGATTTTTACCGGGGGGGGGGGGGGCTTCCAACCTGGGAGCTGGATCTGGGATGAGCATCTCTAGAGAGATCCACAGCATTGCTCAGACGAACTTCTGTGGGGCCCAGGGCCTTGCTGCAGACACTGGAGGTTTTTATCGGGTGCTGAAATTTTATGCCAGGCCCTGCCTGAGAACCACTTCACAGGAACCCTGATTCTTTCTTCTATGGGGGCTGGGGGGAAAGAAGCGGGACTGAAGACTGGGAGAAGGATGGCAGAGCTGGCAATGAGCCCAGGCCCGGGCACTGCCCTATCTCCGGGAGCGGTCGATGATGATAAGATGGCCCAACCGCAGCCTTTATCTTGAAAGCTCAGCAGAGCAGGGCAAGGCTGTGCTCCTGAAATTCTCCTAACAAAACTCAGGGACATCCGGCACCCTCCTGCCTTTCCCAAAGATTCCTGGAACTGGCACCTCGTCTCTGCAGTGAAGCAGAAGGGTGTTGGGCCAGCATGTGTCAAACTCACTCGGCCTTCACAGCCCCCCACGAGGTCCAGTCTTTTGATGACCCTTCTCCCTGAGCACTAATGGGGTCACATCTGTCGGGGCCCTCAGATTCCCACCCAGACCTGAGGCTCCAATCCGATAACCATGACACAACAGCTGTTTATGGCTGAGATTTCTTTTAAATCGTCTGCATGTATTTAAATTAGGAAAAGGGAACTAAATGGCACTCATCCTTCCCCACCCAAGACAGAGACTAAGAAAGTGGGGTACCCGCCTTGGTACTTCCTCTGCATCTCCTAGGAGGCCTCCAGGTGGCCCACCTCTCTAGGTCTCCCACCCAATCCCTGCTCCCCTCCAACCCCCTCCCTTCTCAAGGATCATTAAACCCCCACCTTGCCAACATCTTCCAGAGCCTTCCACTGCTCTTCAGTAATGCTCCCAGCACATGCTTTAAGGCCTCCCAGGTCTGAGGTGCCCCACGCCAGCTCCCTCCACTAGGACTGCTTCCCCCCTCCAAGCTCTCATCTGCAAAGTCTCCCAATATGCTCTCTTCTCTGCCTTTCAGGCTCAGGAATTATCAGTTCCTCCTCAGGACCTTCCTGTCCCTCCTCCTTGGAAACACCCCACTTCCTCATCCATGGGCCCAAGACAGGGACAGCGCCCAGCACAGGCTGACACTGAGAAGGCCCCTCATTAAAGCTCCTTCAAGGACACTGACTTGTGTCTCCCTAAATTAATTACAGGGACACTGGTTCTGTCACACTCAGGAGAGGCCGGGTCTAGGGAGGAGCAGGAAGGTGGAAGCCCTTCCTGCCGTGACCCGGGGCTCACGCCCCAGCCTCTGACCCCATCTCTGCGCAGTCAGCAGGGCCAGGCAGGGTGGGCGTCATGGCCTGGCAGGAAGGGGCAGCCTGAGCCAGCATCTCAGATGTTCTGGGGCAGCTTCCACGCCAGCCGGGGAGCTTCTTTTCTGATGGACGCTGAGAGTAGAAAAATTTAGGATGGAAGTTCTCACAAGGACAGACACCAGAGCTGGGGGTAGGGATGATAAATCTTAAGCTAAACCCACTATGGAAGTTTCCAGGAATCTGAGGTGGAGTCAGAAAAGATCATTAGCCAGAGGCGGGAGCAGAGAGGATTATCAACCATAGAAGACTGACCCGAACTGACCCCGAGGCGATAATTTCCACGCTAATTCCACCACAGAACACTACAGAAGAACACCCCTTGCCCTGGCATGACGCAGCCCCTGCCAGCCCATGTCTTGGCAGGCGTCTCTCTTTTCCTTTCCTCAGTAAACTCGCCATGTGATGAATGGGAACGTCTGCCGGATTCTTCCACAGAGGGAGCCAAGAACCCCACACACCGAACCTAATCGTCTGAACCCCAACATTGCCCACACTCCCCACCAATCACCCAGACCTGTCCAGCCTGCCTCCTAAGGGCCTCTCCAACCCCCTAACATCACTGCTTGCTACGCGGCCTCCACAGCCTCCACGCAGCCTCTGCCTCCAGTGTCTCTCCCTCTAACTCCCAGATTGACCTTTATTTTATTTATACATGTTTTGTCAGGAGCAAGCACAGTCTCACGAAGTGTGCAGTCCCCACCCCGCCGTAAGAAGAGCGGAGCTGGGCAGAGAAGTGAAAGTAGAAAAGGCCAGGACAAGCACTGAGAGAAGGGGGAAGAAGCCCCGGGAAGAGACAGGAAGAAGGCCTGAGGAGGCACATGGAGCAGAGAGACACGCGAAGAGCCGCACTTGCATCTCGGCCTTGGACTTGTACCAGGGACTTGGGGGACATGGAAGGAGATACTTGAAAGAGACAGAAACTTGGGTGCGAGCCCCCAGGGACGGCTGACAATGGCAGCCTTTTATCTTGATTTAGATTTTGCTCTTTTTCCTTCCAGACTTGCCGAGCTCTTTCTGTTCCTTTCCTATGGGTCCCCTGCAACTGTGGCAGGCTTTCTGGCCTCAGCAGCCCTGCTGTGGGCCAACCCTGTTTGGCTGGCATTTACCCGTGAGGGGATGGGTAACTTTGGATGCTTCATTTGGATGCTATTTGAAGCTATGTTCTTTCCCTTCTCTCTACTGCACACTAATTGTGCTAAAGTTATTTTCTATTGAAGGTCTTATGCACTAGAGTATGTTTTGTCTTTATGCAGTGGATAGCAGAACCCATTTAGGGCGTGCCAGTTTCGGGGTCCCACCCTACCCTCTAACACTAGGACAACTGGGTATCTCCAGGCAAACAAATGAGGCTGGACCCCTACCTCCTACCACATACAAAATATAACTCAAGCTGAATCAAAGACCTACAGGTAAGAACTGAATTGTGACACTGTAATTTACGGTGGGATCTGAGGCTTTCTCTAGGCAGATCAGGTCAGAATTGACCTCACCGCTGGGTGGTGTGGGAAAAAGCACACTCCGGGATTGCTGCCCTACTTGGGTAAATCTAGAAAACTCTGAAAAGACAGAATAAATCTCTGTACGAAGCTATGATTTCATAGGTATGGCAGCAAAAGCACAAGCAACAAAAGAGAAAATAGATAAATTGGGCCTCATTCAAGTTTAAAAGCTCTGCTTCAAAGGATGCCAAGAAAGTGACAAGATAACCCACAGAGTGGGAGAAAATATTTGCAAATCATATATCAGATGAGGGGGTTGCATCTAGAATTCTAGAAGAAATCTTACAACCTAAAAAAATAAAGACAAATAATACAACTGAAAGATGGCACGGAATCTGAAAAGACCCTTCCCCAAGGAAGATCTGTCATTGGCTAACAAATGCACAAAAAGCTACTTGACAACACCAGAAATCAAAACTACCCCGAGGTGCAACTTTAGACCCAGTACCACACCTATCAAAAAATGATCAAAAAGAACAACTCGATGAAGATTTGCAGAAACTGGAACCTTCACACACTGCTGGGAATAGGGGATGAAGCAATGAAGAAAGGATGGAGCGGTCTGGCAGGTCCGCAGAAGATGAGACAGATGTGCGTGCCCCAGCAACTCCACTGCTCAGGTGTGTGTCCCAGAGAGGAAGACACGTCCCCAAGGACATGTGAACACAAATGTCCCCAGCGCCCTCGTCGTAACAGCCAAGAAGTAAAATCAATCCAAATGTCCAGCAATGGATGAAACAGGAAACAAATAGGGTGTTGACACCGTGGACATCAGCTGGGAAGTGCCCAGAACAGACCAACCCGTCCTCAGCACTGACACACCCCAGACCTGTGGCCCGCGTCCCAAAGCCTGTCACAGCAGACCTTGCCCTTAAGGCCTTAAGGCCCATCTATATGAAAGGTCCGGAACAGGCCACTCTGCAGAGAGAGAAAGTAAGCTGGTCTAGGGGGAAATGTGGGATGACTCACTTCTTTTTGGCTATCTTCTTAGGGTGATGAAAATGTTCCCCAACTGATTGTGGAGACAGTTACACAGCCCTGGGCAAGCTAATGCTATAGTGTCATGCACCCAACGGGCTAACTGGGTGGTGTAGGAGGTCTTAGGCTAAAGAGAAATTTCCTACGCATGGAGAATGCCCTTGGTTACAGGGCCCTCGAGGATGTCTTTGACCTCACCTGACCCCGGCCCCCTACCCTCACACACTCGTCCAGTTGCTGGTGCTTTACACACACATGCCTCATGTCACCCTCATAGCAACCCTGTGGGGTAGGAACAACACTGCCATTTTACTGGTGAGGAAACTGAGCAGCAAAGAAACTTGCCCAGTGAACTCAGCTGTTTGAATCCAGAAGCCACGCTCCTGACCACTGTGCTATTAGAAGTGTGGCCTATTAGAAGTGTGTCCCCCAGTCAGAGCAGTGGCTGCACTGACATGTAGCCGCTGCTTGGCCACCACCATACTCCCAGGACAGAGGCCACGTTTGCTGCATCCAGTCCTCCCAGCCCTCTGCCTCCTCTCTCACTAGCTGTGCCACCTCGAACAAGTTACTTAAGCTCTCTGGGCTTCACGTCCTCATAAAATAGAGATAGTAATTAAATGAACTAAAAATAGGTTAAGTGCTTAGAACTGAGCCAGGTACTTAATGGTCACTCAATAAACAGGGTGCGGGACCCTCCCAGCTGGGTGGGAGTCAGTGAGTGGGGGTGACAACAAAGCCGGCTCAGTCTTCAGCCTGGAGACACCACGGCCAGCCAGGCAGCCCCACCCTGCCACCCCGCTCCACTTCTGCCTCCCCAGCACAACTTACGGCAAGGTGGATGCAGCAAAGCAGACAATTGAGATCAAGCCCAGGCCCACGCTGGCCTCATCCCAGGCGTCCTGGGCACATTCGCCGAACACGTCCCATATCCACAGGCTGCCGTTGGGACAGCTGGAGAAGTTGCCGGAGCCCAGTTTCCTCCAGACCATGGCTGCAGCAGGAGGGAGGGCCGGGGGAAGGGTGGTGGTATAACGAAGCAGGCCAGGGCTCTGCAGGGAGAAAGAGGGGCCTTCAGCCTCGGAGCTGAGTCACAGTCCCACCAACCCAAGCCTGCCCCCAGGCTCACCATGCAGCAACGGGTGGCCGAGCCCTTGAACCGGGACTCAGCAGCTCAAGTACAGAGATCAAAGCAAACACCTGCCCACCCCACGCAGGGACAAGCACGTTCTACTGCTGCCAGTGACTCGGCCCCTATGTGCCTCAGTTTCCTCATCTGCAGAAAGGGGTGATTACAGTGCCCCTTTCATACAGTGATTGTGAAGGTGAAATGAGGTTATAAATGAAGTGTGGGAAACTCAGCCCTCAAATAATGTTGCCCTGGTTATAACCCTTGAACATTTATTTAGATGGTTCCTTTTTTTTTTTTAAAGATTTATTTATGCATACAAGAGCTGGGGTACAGGCCAGAGGTGTGAGGGGTGAGAGGATTCCCCAGAGACACAGTGGGGAACAGAACAGGCAGACTGACCGAAGTACACTGCTGAGGGAAGCAGCGGGCGAGTCAGGATAGGTCTGCTGTGCCATATGGGTTGTTTCCTGGGAGGGGATTGAACTCCCACTGCAGTGGCTGCGGATTGCTTCATAGGTTGCATGTTGATCCTTGCGCCACCAGGGAGGCCCAGTTCCTTTTTTTTTTTAAGGCTTATTTGTTCATTTATGCATAGAACTGGGGTATCAGCCACAGATGCCAGGGTGGGGGGAGAGGATTCACCAGAGACATATTGGGGAATAGAACAGGCAGACTGACTGAAATACACTAAAGAGGGGAGCATCAGGCGAGACAGGAGAGGTCTGCTGTGCCATGTGGGTCAGCTCCCTGGCCCGGGATCAACTCAGGCCCAGGCCGCAGCGGTGATAGTGCTGAGACTTAACCCCTAGGCCACCAGGGAGGTCCCAAGATGGTTCCTAATCTTTCTCCACGGAGATTACTCTGAGGGCCTGGGGAGGCTAGGCCATTAGGTGTGTTATCTGGTCTCAGGTAGGGTTGTCCCTGCCATTGACCACACAAGGCAGGAGAAGACCTCCCCATTCTCACCACCAGAGATTGTGGGTTGCGGCCAGGAAGCTGCAGAGTCAGAAGTCAAACCCAAGCCAGATCCACACCCCTGTTCATAGCCATGGTGCCCTGCACCTCTGGGTGCCACAAAACCTCCTGCTCTGTTGTGGCTGCCCAGCTTCTCCAAGCCAGAAAGCAGACTTCCCCTTTTCTCACAGGGCTCAGAGGGGATTTCCTCACGTGGACTGCTCTCCGCAGGCACCTTCAGTTTCTACTTGTGTCAGAGAGCAAAACCCAACACTACACACAGACTTTACGCTCCCCTCACGGCTCCCCTCACCGCTCCCCTCACCGGCCCCCTCATTCCCATGCTGAAACCTGACCCCGAATGGGATGGTTAGAAGGTGGGACTCCGGGGAGAGGTTTAGGACAGGGATTAGTGCTTTATTAAAAGACACCCAGTGAGCTCCCCTCTCCTCCCTGGGCGCCCCCTTCCCCACTTGAGGCCACAACGGGAAGGCTGCTGCCACCCTGGGACTAGGAAGTGGCTCTTGTCAGACACTGACATTGTGCCAGACACCACCTTTCCAGCTTCCAGACTGTGAGAAATAAACGTTGGCGGGACCTCCCTGGTGGAGCAAGGGGTTAAGTGTCAGCACTGTGAAGCTGTCAGCAACTACTGCAGCAAGAGTTCAATACCCAGCCAGGGAGCAACCCACATGGCGCAGCAGACCTCTCCTGTCTTGCCTGCTGCTCCCCTCAGCAGTGTATTTCAGTAGATCCCCCTGTTTTGCTCCCCACTCTGTCCCTCATGAATCTTCTCACCCCTCACACCTCTGGCCTGTACCCCAGCTCTTGTATGCTTAAATAAATAAATCTTTCAAAAAAAAAGAACAAATAAGCATTGGTCGTTTATAAGCAGCCCTGGTGGACTAAATCACTCTGGCCGGACCCTCGAGCTACTGAGATCACAGGGACCTGGGAGCATTGGGTGAGGGAAAGGAATCGAGTCAGCCTCTTTGCTCAGGAAGCTGGAGACTCGCAGCCCTAATGTGAGTATCCCGGAGCTGGGGGCCAGGGCATCCCAGGTCACTGCCCGGTTGGCTGCAGTATCTCCTGGGCCTGAAAGCCTTTCCATTCCCTGTGTCCTGGCGGCCCACCTCGATGACCTTCAGCGTGGCTGATGTTGGAACCATTTCCTGATGTCTGGCCCCCAGCCCCTGCAAGGCCAGCCTAGGCAGACCAGCAGTCCAGGGAAGACTGCACCTTTGTGATGCCAAAGGCACTTCAAAGCAAGGCCTTTGCTCCCAGCCATCCACTGGGCTGCCTCCCTGCCCTCCTCTTGTTGATGCTGCACCTGCCACCACAGCTCATCACGTTAGTATGTTGCCTAATGGGGATGTCCTGGGAATGGGGAACGCTGCCCCCATTTTACAGCTAGGCTGGGCAACTGAGTAACCTGTCTGAGCTTGTCCATAAAATGAGAACAATGACATTTACTCCTTGGGATCTTACCGCAGATGAAATGTACATAAAGCTCTGAGCCCACTGCCTGACAGGTGCACGGCCAGACTGTTCTGAGGATGGGAGTCCAGGGTCTCAACCACCTCTCACTCCCTCCTTTCAGCAGGATAGGGAGGAATGAGGTGCACACATGTGTCGTGTGGGAGGAGGGTGTCTTGAGGAATGTACCCAGGGCACCGGGAGGCAAATCCTGTCTTCGCATGGAGTATCTTGGGATACTCTGAGACACGCCTGAGCCCTGAACAGAAGAGGCCTACCCCTAAGGGCTGCATAAGGTGGGAGAGGCGATCAGGGTTCCCCTCCCTGCAGACGTAGGGAATAGACAGAGGAGAGACGCTTGGGGATGTCATCATTCCAGTCCTTGGCCATCAATTATAGGTTCTGAACGAAGTGTGGAGGCCAGCCTGGCCTGGCTTCTGGGAAGAGGCCCACCTCCTGGTCAAACAGCACTGAGCGAACAATGTCCAAGGTTATAACTACGCAGATTCATAGATTCAACAAGGACCACAGTAGGGGTACCTTGGATTTGGGGAGCACAAGTTCAAAACGCAGAATCAATTTGCAATCCCCAGTCTAGACTGGGGATCAGGGAACCTTGGGTTGAGTGGCTCCCCCAGCGGATTCTGGTATGCACGGACACACTTGGAGAAAGGCTGTGCTGGAGAAGGAACCTCTGGCCACACCCAAGCTCCTCTCCTGGATGCGAGCTGAGTCAGGGCAATGTTCCTGCAGAAGCTGGTCAAGTGGCCACCTCCGTCTACCAGATGGAGTCCACTGCACCCCAAGGCAGCACTTGGGCAGCACTCCAAGAACTGCCCTCCCAGCTCGTCTCCCGCCCTTGCCTCGTGTCTTCAGTCATTCTCTGGCCTCCAGGCTTCTGCACGTTGGCTGTTCCCCTAGAAGGGTCCTTCACCCCTTTAGGCCGGGAAAGAGATCCAAAGACCCAGCTCTAAACTGCCCTCGGAGGCCTTGCCAGGGCTGGCTGGACCAGACTTGTCACTTCCTCCCCTCCTTGTGCGCAGAATGCTCACCACACACCTCAGCGACCACTCCTCCCTTTCAGCCTGGTGGTAAACTTGATTCTCAGGGCCTAGACACAGCAGCTGTGCAGTAAGGGTGCAGAAAACACTGGGTGGGGGAGAGGAAAGCAAAAAAGAGAGAGAGGAGGGGAAAGAGGGAGGAGGGATGGGGAGGGGAAGGAAAAAGCAAGAAAAGGAGGGAGGGAGGGAGGTTTAGTTGTGAGGCACACGGCCTAGGCTTGAGGCCAAAGCACCTGGCACTGACCCGGCTGATGCCCACTGGTTTAGAACTCCTGGCGAAGGAACTGAGCCTCAGAGTTCCGACCTACAAAGTGGGGCAAGAATGCAAGCATCCCCCGAGGCCGACTGCGGGGCCCAGGAGATAATGAAATAATCCAGGCCGCAGGATTAAAACGGAGCCTGGCACGACCTGACCGCGACTACTACTCAGGGCTGGCTCTTCGGTCCCCGGCTGTGGGCCTCGCCCTCCCGCTCCCTCGTTGTCGTCGCGGGCACACAGCGGCCTCCATTATATGTTTAAAGAAGGAGCCCTGTGACCCGCACCAGGCCTCACACTTGCAAACCTCCTCTCACATGGTACATATTTGAAAGGCTGAGGAGGCCGGGATGGGGACGGGGCGGCCTGGGCTCCCTTCCGAGCAGACCTAGGGAGCTCCGCGGGGAGGAGCATCGGGCCGGGGCTGTTCCGCCCCCTCCAGCCCCGGGCCCTCCGCCACACTCCCTGCTAGTGACTCAGCCCGGCGCAGGCTGCCTGTCTGGCGGGGATAATGACAGGGCAGCCGCTGGGGTCAGCGCTCGAGGGCCGGGGCGGGGGTGGGGGGTGGGGGGGCTCCCCCAGCCCGCTCCGGGGAGAACAAAGCCGTCGGAAGCAAAAGGGCCGATCAGGAGGGACCAGGAGGAGGAAAGGGAACCCGGAGCCCAAAGCCCAGCCGTGCAGCTCAAAGAGGCTTTGCTGTGGCGTCTGAGCAGCAGGAGCACCGAGGCGGGGCCCCAGGGCCGTCCAGGCCGGCCCAGACCCTCCATCAGGATTTCGCGCCTCAGGGAGGGACCAGGAGCCCAGGGCCGTCCAGGGGCTGGAGGCGCGAGCCGGAAAGAGGTGGCAGGGAAGCCCCCGATTCTCGACCCCCAGCCTTTGGGCTTGCCCCCCAGCCTCAAAGGCGGCTCACCGAGTCAAGATCCAGCGCCCGGCCCGGCTCCAGGGTTCTGTGTGCACAGCCGGGGTCAGCTGACCCGAGGCCCCGCCCCGCCCCGCCCCGGGGCCGCGTGGCCCCGCCTCCTGCGCCGCGCACTTGGCGTACGATCCCTGAGGGAGACACGAGCAAGCGGAGCGTGCGTGGGGGGGCCGTCGCGCTACTTGTTGACGCTCCCTTCGTGCCCACTGGGCTCCGCCCGCCGTGGCCGGTGGGCGGGGCCCGAGGCGCCCTTGCGCGCAGGCGCCGTCCTCATGCTGGGCGCCGCGTCGCGTGCTGTGGGCCGCGCCGCCGTCCGCTGTGCGCGTCGCGCCGGGACGCCCGAGGCCCGCGCCCCCTCCGCCCCCGCCATGTCCCGGCCTCCGAAGGCCGCCTCGGGCGGCTCGGCCCGGCCCGCTACGGTGCTGGGCACCATGGAGATGGGACGCCGCATGGACGCGTCCGCCAGCGGCGCGGCTGTGCGCGCCTTCCTGGAGCGCGGCCACGTCGAGCTGGACACGGCCTTCATGTACAGCGACGGCCAGTCCGAGAGCATCCTGGGCGGCCTGGGGCTCGGGCTGGGCGGCGGCGACTGCAGAGGTAAAGTCTGCAGCCGGGTCAGGGGACCTGACCGCCCTGCGCGTGCATCGCGCACCCCTCCCGCGGGACCTCGACCCGGCCAGTCGGGCACCCGCTTGGCCGAGGCCAGAACCACGGCTTCGTGCCCCTGCCTGGGCACCGGCCTCTCCCGGCCACCCTGCGAGTCTGTGAATCCCCAACTCTCAGACCCCGTGCGCATCTAGCCCGGAATGGGTGCACGGTGCCTTGTCTTGACCGCTATTCCCTCCCCTTCTGGGGGCTGCCTCTCTGAGGCTAACCTAGTACTTGGCTTCTTGAAGCCGGCGCCCGCCACCCCCCGACTCCCGCTTCCTTGGTGCACCTCTCTGCGGTCTCCAGAGCTTTCTTGCCCCTTCAGGTGCTGGTAACTCCCCCCTGCTGAACTCTGCAGTGCCCATACCCGTCCCCGGCTCTCTGCCTCCCTCCGTCACCCCATTGCGCTCCCGCTGTTCACTCCCTTTTCTCATCTTGATCTTTTACCAGTTCTTAGACTTTGCTCTGTCCACTTGGCAGCACCCCTGGCTCTCTCAGGAGGGAACTGTAGGCTAGGCTGGGGGAGCAGTGCTGGTAGGTGAGCAGTGGCAGGTGTGATGGAGGGGAGAAGGGCTGTGCCACCACTCCTATACCCCTGTGCCAGCTTTGTATGGGGATTTGGAGGGAAAGTGACTAACTCACCCCCAGGGAATTCAGAATCTAGTGGGAGACTGAAACAAATGATTGGGGTGTGGGGGGAGGTGCACTTTAGGCACTTTTGGAACTGGCAGGGCTCTAGGGAAGCTCAGAGAATTCTGGAGCTGGGCCTTGAAAGACCAAGAGTAGCTTGCTGGGCAAAGAATGACAGAGGCTGAGGGTACAAAGCTCTGCAAAGATTGGTCTTGGAAATGCCAAGTGCCTGGTGTGTGGGAAGGACTGTTCGTCATTGGCATGATGCCAGTGGATGTGCCTAGGAGAGACTTTTGTACATAGTGGGGCCCAGTAAACACTGGCTGTTGTATTACTACCATACTTTGCCACCTCCTTTTCACTCTAAGAGTCTTCCTTTCCAGCCCTTATGGTGGGGGGTGGGGCAGGGTGGTTCTCTCTGGGTCCTCCTTAGATTCATAACTTGGCGGATCTCAGAGGAATGTATATTTTAGACTCACACTCTTCCTAGTCGCCTGGCAGCCCCACGCTGATCATGAAGATTTTGTTTTTGAATTAATTTTTCTCCAACCCTTCCCTGCAGCCTTCTTTGAGGCTGGGCACTCACTAGGCCAAAGTCCTTAGGTTGGACCCGAGGCAAAGTTCATACAGGCTATGAGACTGATGAGGAATGGAGAAAATCTGGGTGAGAAGCTGTGGGGCCTGTTCCCCGTATCCTAGTGGTCCCTTCTGACCTGGCGAGTTGCTTTCGTGCAGAGCCCATGCGCCCATCAAGCCAGGCCGCCTGGACTCTAGTGCACCCCACTGCTGTTTGCCTGGCAGGACAGGATCTCGTTCTCGGGACTGTGTCTGCAGTGGATGTGTGTGTGCGCTTGCTTCTGCGGGCCTGGAAGTCCATAATTGTGAGTCCTTATGAGCTCATCATCAACTTCTGCTCATTTTGCCATCATCCTGTCTCTCACATTGATCTCTGCCAGTTGCCTGTGTTTAGGCGCACATCCTCTCCTGCGTTCTGGCAACAGCCTCTCGTCTCCCCATTTCCAGGCCTGTCCCCTTGAGTTCTTATACTGCAGCCAGAAAGACCTCAAACCTTTGGATCATGGTACTTGAGAAAATCCTTTGGGGTTAGGCTTTGCCCCCTTGTCTTGTCTCATGTCCCACTGCTCCCTACCTGGAGTTCATGCCCTTATAACTCAGGATTGCAGGCACAGCTCTTCGCATACTGTGTCTTCTTCCTTTTGTGTTTTTGCTCATGTTCCCACCCTCTGGGGTGTGCTTCCCACTCTTCCTTGTTGCCTTTGGCGCCATTCTCAGAGACTCAGCTTGGTGATCACCCCCTGGAATTCCTAGGATGACCCATGCCTTTTTCTGGGTTCCTTCAGTTCCTTCTGGGGGCTTTTCTCTGCTGCAAGCGCCATATGGTACCATCACCGTCGAGACTGTGAGCTCCTTGAGGGCAGAAAGCAAGTGCAATTAGTTCATCTTTGTGAGCTCAGCCTGTAATGCAAGGCCTGGCACAGCCAGCAGTCTGGTGACTATAATCATAGTGATTACAATGGCACTGAACGTGGAGAACTTACATCTAAGACATTGTTTCATCCTCATCTTCCTCTGAGGACAGTCCCTGCTTCTATCCCCATTTTACAGGTTAGAGAATTGAGACTCAGGAAACTGAAATACTTTAGCCAAGGTCTCATGGCCAGTAAGTGGTTATAATAAGTCTCATAATCATTACCTTCTCCTCTCAAAGTGAAAATCGCTACCAAAGCCAATCCCTGGGAGGGGAAGTCGCTGAAGCCTGACAGTCTCCGGGCCCAGCTGGAGACGTCGCTGAAACGATTGCAGTGCCCCCGAGTGGACCTCTTCTACCTCCACGCACCTGACCATGGCACCCCTGTGGAAGAGACCCTGCGCGCCTGCCACCAGCTGCACCAGGAGGTGAGGGCAGCCCCTGCCCAGCTCTGAGTGGTGGTCTGCTGCTCCTTTCCTTGACTTGTTATTACCCAGGAGAGGGCATGTATCAGGCTGTCCCGGAGTGGAGGAGGGACAGACCCTGTTCCCAGGGTCCCCACGCCACCCTGGTCTCCTCTTCCTGATCTCCTGGACTGTGATGGGTTCTGACCTTGGCCTTTCCCCTGCAGGGCAAATTTGTGGAGCTTGGCCTCTCCAACTATGCTGCCTGGGAGGTGGCTGAGATCTGTACCCTCTGCAAGAGCAATGGCTGGATCCTGCCCACCGTGTACCAGGTGAGGGCCAGGGTTGCAGAGGCTTCAATCCCTAGGGCTCCTACTGATTTTGGGTTCTCTGGGCCCCTCCAAGTACCTCCATGCCCTCCCCAAAGCAGCCACTCCCCTGCAGATGGCTACCAGGAACCCTCAGGATTTTATGCAGCTCTTCATCCAGGCCAACAGTGCCTGCTCACTCTGGCCCTGACTCTGTGCCCTGCTGCCAAGGCACCCTGGTCCCAGCCTTCCTGCTTCCTTTCTCTGCCAGTCAGCCGGAATGCTCCTTCCTCTCCTCCTCACCAGCAGCTCTTGGTTCTCACTAGATGACACTTCCTCTGAAAGCTGACCCTACTGCCCCAAAGGTCTGGTCCCCAGACCCCGTCTTCCTATATTCAGCCTGCATGAGCGAGCACCAGACCCGCCTTTACTGTCATCATCTGTCTTCTCTCTGTTTTCACTTTAACATCTCTTGAAGGCAAAGACCTTGCTGGACTGTGCATGTTTAGAAGCCAGGGTCCAGCCCACACTTGGTACCCTCAGTTGCTCCCGGAATGAGCTGTCCAGTCTGGTTTCCCACCCTTGGGCCCAGCACCATCTCCCCATCCCCTGCTACTCCTAGTGATTGGAAATCATTGCTGAGGTCTCGACAGGTTTTGACTGAAGGTGTTAGAAGGCTGGGGTCCCTTTTTTAACATGTGCACCCTGTCTACCTGGCCCTTCTACTTGCAGGGCATGTACAACGCCACCACCCGGCAGGTAGAAACAGAGCTCTTCCCTTGCCTCAGGCACTTTGGATTGAGATTCTACGCCTACAACCCTTTGGCTGGTAGGGGCTGCTTTGGGGACCAGCTCTTCCCAGGTGGGAGGGCCTTCCTTACCCAGTGGATCCCCAACCCAGGACCTGGGAAGCAGGGAGGGGTTTGTGAGAGGGGGACTATGTCCTGGTATCCCTCTTGGGTCCCCTAGTCCAGAGCAGTCTCTGGGAGGAGGTGAGAGGGGTCTGATGACAGCTTTTCCACAGGGGGCCTGCTGACTGGCAAGTACAAGTATGAGGACAAGGATGGGAAACAGCCTGTGGGCCGCTTCTTTGGAAATAACTGGGCTGAGGCATACAGAAACCGGTGAGCTGGGGATGTCCGCATCAGGATGGGGGCGGGGTTCTCTACCTGAAATGGAGAAGTTCTAGGCTGTTTTCTGGGTTATTATAGGATGTGGGGGCAGCTCCAGGCCTTTTCCTGCTGCCTGGACCTATATCTCTTGATTCCTGCAGGAATTACCAAACCTCTGGAGAGTAGCTTATTTTCTTGGGACCTCTGGGAGGGCATGAGAATTTCTGGACTTCATGCCAGGTCTTCCAAGTCAGCTCTTCCTGAGAAGTGCTCATCCCCTGCCAGGAGAGAAGGAAAGAGCCTTGAATTCAGGCCCGAGGGGCCTGGGCTGAGACCCGCTCCCTGTACTGGCTGCCTTTTTTTCATTAAGGAAGCAAGGGCAGACTTGGACTTCTAAGGAATGAAGATGTCGCTGCGGTCCTGGTGATGGAGCCCTCACGTGGGTGGTTTTGCCCCACAAGGCAGGAGAGCCGATGCTTGAGAACCCCGCCACCCGTGCTGCAGGGTTGGGTGGGTGCGTCTGTTCCAGTTGGCTCTTTGACCATGGCCCCCAGGGTGACCCCATGGTGCTGACCCCTGTGCCACCCTCCTTACCCACCCAGCTTCTGGAAGGAGCACCACTTCGAGGCCATTGCCCTGGTGGAGAAGGCCCTGCAGGATTCGTATGGCAGCAGTGCCCCCAGCATGACCTCAGCTGCCCTCCGGTGGATGTACCACCATTCCCAGCTCCAGGTAACCCGACTTCCACAGAGGCTCTGCTCGCGCCCAGTCTGGGTGCCAGAATTGCCTTTCGGTGATTTCTAAATAGTTTCCTCTGGAAATTTTCTCTGTTCTGATTCTCCAGGACAGGCCTCTGATTCTGCTTGGCAGCTGTCTCAGTGCCAGACACTGGGATAAGGGCTTTACAAGTATCGATTTAGTGATTACAGAGGCCTTATGTAGTATGATTGTCCAAGTTTTACTGATGAGGAAATGGGTTCTCACATTCAGGAAGGAAGTAGAGTATTTATCACAGATTTGACTGCAAAATCTCACTTAATCTCACTTAATCTAACTCCTCTGGTGGTAGGCGGAGTTTCCATCTCCCTGGTGTCCCATGTCTTCCTGACTCAAGCTTTTCTCTGACCTCAGCCATGTGTAGTCAATAGGGTCTGGTGTGCATGTAGTAGTTCTCGGTCATTGGGAGCCAAGTGCTTTACATAATTATGGGAATTTGTTGTTCCCATAACCGTGCTGAACATAGAAAAGCAGAGTCTCAGAGCTTAAATAAGGAAGCCAAGTTTATACAGTTGTTAAAAGGCAGAACTGGGCTCTGAACTCGGGTCTGAGTGAGGATGAGCAATGTGGTGGCCAGGAGAAGGAAGACAGTTTGGAGTCCCGTAGAGTTATCCAGGGCAGATTTCTAGACGCATGTGCAGCACTAATAAACATCCAGTCCTGAGTGTTGGTGGTGGCAGGGCTGGGGGGGGGAGTGTGTGGGCCTCGGGTCACCGTGGTGCAAAAGGGCGTTGATGTCTCCCTGTCCCCCCTTGCAGGCTCCCCTTGGGGACGCAGTCATCCTGGGCATGTCCAGCCCAGAGCAGCTGGAGCAGAACTTGGCAGCGACTGAGGAAGGGCCCCTGGAGCCTGCCGTGGTGCAGGCCTTTGGTCAAGCCTGGCACCTGGTTGCCCATGAATGTCCCAACTACTTCCGTTAGGCCTCCAGGAGGGTCAGGTTGCCAAAGGTGTCTTTCTTTTCTGTCTCCTCTTTTTCTCTCAGTGTGGCCAGTCTTTGCCTTCAGCTGATTTAGTGTGATCTCTCCGGATGGTTTGCATCCATAAATTATTTTTCTAGATTCCCACCTTGCTATCGGTTGCCTTCACAGTGTGGAGGGCCGGGGCGTTTCTTGTCTGAATAAAGCAGGCACTTGACGACCTGGCTGTAGCTGTGTCTGGGGCGAATCCTCTGCTGCTTGCACTTCTTTCTGGGCTCCCTGCAGACTCACTGTCATAGGCAGAACCCTGAGCTGGAGCCTTCAGCGGGTAGAGGTGGTGGGAGGTCTCCTGCATCCAGCCTGACCCTTCAACAGAGGTCACCTCACTTCCCCACTCCATAGAAAAAAAGAGGCCCAAACAGATCCTTCTTTTGTTTAGAATTACTTCACCTGTCTACATACCACCTTGAATGCGCCCGATCTTGTCAGGATTACCTCACAAAATACTAAGAAATGGGCAAAACCTAACATTAGAATCACCTCCAAGAAGAAAACCTTCCAAAATGCTGTGGAACATTTTAAATACACTCTGAGTTTCGGCAGTGGCTTTCCTCTGGGAGGCGTGATTCTTAGCCCAGCCCTGGACCTCCTGCTGGTTGAGGGACGGGCCTGGGCAGTCAGGGTCCCCATTCCTGTCAGCAAATCTGAACCCAAGCAAGAGGCATCGAAGACTGAAAGAGAAAGTCATGCCTGGGTCTGGTGGTTGCTGTCTGACCAATCTCAGTGAGAAAAATCACTCCAGCTGGGGCGGTGGGGCCACGAGGGTGCAGGCTGCGCAGGAGTCACACTCAGCACATGCTCATCCTCACATGACAGAGGGAGCTGTTTTATATCCTATTGCACAAAGTATGCTAAATGGTGTGGCGCATGTGCAAGCGCGTGCACACACACACACACGCACACAGCCTCATAGTGTGTGATTTGATTTACATGAAATATCTGGAATGGGCAAATTTCTTGGAGACAGAAAGTAAGCAGTGGTTGCCCAGGGCTGAGAGGGATGTTGGGAAGAAGTGAAATTAACTATTGGATATCTTCTTGGGTGTTGAAGGTGCTCTAAAGTTGTGACAGGTGGCAGTACAGCTGGGTTCTCCCCCTCCGTGTGGCCTGGGCTCCCTCATCATGGCTGTTGACTTAAGGGCATCCCAAGAAAACCAAACAAGCCACCATGCCTTTTATATCCCAGCCTCGGAAGTGCATGACATCACTCTCACCTCACGGGAGGGTCAGTCATGTGAAAAGGACACGAGAGAACAGGTGGCCGTCTTTGGGGAGCAAGTTCTGCCCCAGGGACCTGCAGCGCTGAGTAGTCAAGTCCCGAAGATGAACCTGTCCCAACTGGGAGACCTGCAGTCCTGAGGGCCGCCGTCAGAGCCGTGGAGGTTGGTCACTCCAACGAGCTGTTCGAGTCTCTGAGGGCGTGCCTCACGGAGCATGAGGGCGTGAAAGCGGCCACTTCCTACCTAGGGAGCTTTTCAAGACAAAGGGGCAGAGTCGGGCCTGGTAAAGAGCACAGCTACTTTTAATCTGCCTCAAATTAGGGAAACTGGGTGTGGTGTATAAAAGAATGGAGACTTGGTATCAATCTTGTGTCTTTGAGTGAAAGGGACGGAAAGTGGGCCATGACGACTGCCCAGAACGGGCCTCTGGGCTGGGCTGACCTACTGGCTTCCTTCCCATTTGGCCCTGCTTGTTACTAGTGTTGTGATGATTGACATCTCCAGTGACGCAAACCTGCATTCTGAAGACATTTTAGAAGCAATAAGGAAGGGGGCTTCTCTGGTGGCGCTAGCGGTTGAGCGCTGGGTTGCGAAGCTGCCTGCAGCCTCTGCAGCGCCGGTTCGATCCCCGGCTGCTCCCCGGCCACTGGAGGAGGGTCCCACATGGGGCACAGACTGCCCCTGCCGCCCGCTGCTCCCCCTAGCAGTGTACCTCGGTCCCTCTGCCTGCTCTGCTCCCCGCTCTGGCTCTGGTGAATTCTCTCACCCTCCCGTGCTTCTGACTGTACCCAGTGCTTGTATAAATAAATAAATAAATCTTTAAAAAAAAAAAAAAAAAAGCAATAAGGAAGGTAGGAATGTCAGGATACGTGATTGCTAAAGAGAAAATAGATTTCTCCTCTATAAATTTTTAATAAGACTCTTCACCACACAGCATATCTGACATGCCTTTTCATGCTGAATCAGGGGATGGGGTTCGGGCAGACCAACAGCAGGAAGGCAGCTGCTGCGCCCCGGCCCCCATGAAGCTCCCCTTTCGTCTGTGTTCTCACTGGGGCATCTTCTTACAGGTGTGCGTGCCCCCTGCTCTCCGGCTTCTGGGCCCGGGTGTCTGTGATCATAGGTAGGTGTGCCCTGTGCGCACGCTCCCAAGTGCTCTTTGCAATAACACGTTACCACATGTGTGTGAAAGCTGGGCGGAAAACAAGGTCGCAGGTGGCAGCGTACAGGCTAGTGGCGGGAAGGAGACAAAAAGCCCGATTTAACCCATTTTCCCTGTGGATGCCAACATCAACAGCTACTTTTTTTTTTTTTTTTTTTTAAATATTTTATTTATTTATTTATTTATACAAGCACTGGGTACAGTCAGAAGCGCGGGAGGGTGAGAGAATTCACCAGAGCCAGAGCGGGGAGCAGAGCAGGCAGAAGGACCGAAGCACACTGCTGAGGGGAGCAGCGGGCGGCAGGAGAGGTCTGCGCACCATGTGGGACCCTCCTCTGGTGGCCGGGGAGCAGCCGGGGATCGAACCGGCGCCGCAGAGGCCGCGGGGAGCTTTGCAACCCAGCGCTCAACCGCTGCGCCACCGGGGAGGCCCAACAGCTACTTTTTTTTTTAAAGATTTATTTATTTATTTATACAAGCACTGGGTACAGTCAGAAGCGCGGGAGGGTGAGAGAATTCACCAGAGCCAGAGTGGGGAGCAGAGCAGGCAGACTGATGAAATACACTGCTAAGGGGAGCAGCGGGCGCGGCAGGAGAGGTCTGCGTGCCATGTGGGACCCTCGCCCGGCGGCCAGGGATCAAACCGGCGCTGCAGAGGCTGCGGGCAGCTTCGCAACCCAGTGCTCAACTGCTGCGCCACTGGGGAGGCCCTCAACAGCTACTGTTTTGCTCTCCTGACATTCATTAAAAACTTGGAGTGAAAAATGAGCACATTTGAGAAGAACAGCTATTTAATCTAGACAAATGATACGTGTCATAATGATAAAAATATGGACCTGCTTTACATGTGTCCTCAGACACATCCTTCTGCTTCAAAAACTAGCAATTATTTCCAGCTACTCAGGACAGTTGTGTCATTCTCTTTGGGCTGCTACAGCAAAACACCATAGTCTGATTGGTTTAAACAACAAACATTTATTTTTTACAGTTTGGGAGGCACCAAGACCAAGGTGCCAGCAGGACTGATGTCTGGTGAGGGGCCTTTCCAGCCCCTGGATCTGCACACAGCTGCTTTTTTTGTTTTGTCTTGACAAGAGCACCTGAGTCTTTTCTTATAAGGACACTAATCGCAGCATGGGGGGTCCCTCTCACCCCCTCATCTAAGACTCAGCATTTCCCAAAGGCCCCATCTCCTACTAGAACCACACTCGAGGCTAGCGTTTCAGCATACAGATGGGGGGGAGGGCACAAACGGTTAGTCCGTAACACCCGTTCAGGTTTGTGTTTGCTGCTTTTCACGTTGCCAGTGCTCGTATCCCATTCCTGTGGTAGATGGTGAATGTTGTAAATACTGTAAGTTATACATTTATTACCAACTTTCTTGAGAAATGGAAATCTACTATTTAATATTAGATTAGGCATCTGGCCCTCCCAAACTTGCCGTCACTCTGTCTCTCTGTCTCACCCTGGTGGGCTAATAGCACTCTGTGCTGATAAGTACACCCTGCCTGGGGAGGGAACACACAACTTGGAGAGTAGCCTATGATGGGGTTGGAATTAGAAAGGGATTCTCCCCAGGGGGCCTCCCCGGTGGCGCAGCGGTTGAGCACTGGCTTGCAAAGCTGCCCGCAGCCTCTGCAGCGCCGGTTCGATCCCCGGCTGCTCCCCGGCCACCGGAGGAGGGTCCCACATGGCGCGCAGACCTCTCCTGCCGCCCGCTGCTCCCCTCAGCAGTGTACTTCGGTCCTTCCGCCTGCTCTGCTCCCCGCTCTGGCTCTGGTGAATTCTCTCACCCTCCCGCGCTTCTGACTGTACCCAGTGCTTGTATAAATAAATAAATACGTAAATTAAAAAAAAAAAGGAATTCTCCCCAAGTGTCCCTCACATCATGTCACCGAGGCTCCTGGTAAAAGGGATTGGTACCTCTGGCCTGAGACTGGAATACAGAGCTTGTGAGTATTTTTTTTTTTTTTTTTTTTTTTTTTTTTAATAGAGGCATGCTTTATTTATTTGTTTGCTGGTTTGTTTGTTTTTGTTTATACATGCACTGGGTACAGTCAGAAGCGCGGGAGGGTGAGAGAATTCACCAGAGCCAGAGCGGGGAGCAGAGCAGGCAGAAGGACCGAAGTACACTGCTGAGGGGAGCAGCGGGCGGCAGGAGAAGTCTGCACGCCATGTGGGACCCTCCTCCGGTGGCCGGGGAGCAGCCGGGGATCGAACCGGCGCCGCAGAGGCCGCGGGCAGCTTCGCAACCCAGCGCTCAACCGCTGCGCCACCGGGGAGGCCCGCTTGTGAGTATTTTGTCTGGGGTGCCGCCGTCCTTCCTTACTGGCCTGCGTGGTTGACGTGTCCACTATGGATTGTTTTGAGGCCCCGGTTGGGAGCACGAGCCCCAGAATTAGTTTTGACTTTTTTTTTTTTAAGATTTATTTATTTCTGCATACAAGAACTGGGGTACAGGCCAGAGGTGCAGGGGGTGAGAGGATTCACCAGAGACAGAGTGGGGAGCAGCACAGGCAGCCTGAGTGAAATACACTGCTGAGGGGAGCAGTGGGGAGACAGGAGAGGTCTGCTGCGCCATGTAGTTTAGCTCCCTGACCGGGGATTGAACTCGTGCTGCAGCAGCTGTGGGTAGCTTCATAGTGCTGTGCTTAACCTCTTGTGCCACCAGGGAGGCACTTTCTTGTATTCTTTACAGCGGCGTCAGTCATGTAAACGGTAAGTGGAATCATTGGTGTGTAGCCTTCTGAATCAACAGTGGAGATTCACCCCTGCTCTTGTGAACCAAGTTGTTCACGACATTGTATGCCCCGCCCACAGCACACTCTACCTGTTCTGCAGGTGAGGGACATTGAGTTGTTTCCAGGTTTAGGCAATTGTATAGGTTTTTGCTGACTCATGGTAAATGAATGCTCAATTATCTTTTTAAGAGGTTAAAAATGCAACCCCCCCAAAAAAAAACCAAAAAAGACCCTTACATTTACCCACACGTTTGCCTTTCTATCACTCCCCCTTTTTTTCCTGTGACGATCCAAATTTCCTTCCCTCTAAAAAGCATTTTCAAACATTTCCTATAGTGAAAGTTTGCAACTATGAATTCTCCCCACCTTTGTCTAAACAAAGACCCTTGCCTTCCTGTTTGAAAGGTGTTTTTGGGTGTAGGATTCCAGACTGGCAGGTCGTTCAGTGCTCTGACTCGAACCTCCACAGGTTTGCAGGCAGGAGCCTTTGACAAGCCCCAACAAGAGACTCACAGAGCATTCTGGGATGCAGGGGCAGGAGAGCCGCTGGGACTCCTCAGACAAGGCCTCAGATTAGGATCTTTTTTTTTTTTTTTTCCCCAGATTAGGATCTTTAGCAAGATCCCTGTCACCTGCGTGAAGCCACAGTCATCCAGCCCCTTGTGCGGCTGTGTGGAGGGGTCCATAAGTGCCACGGGGGCCAGGGGCCCTGCACTTATTTTTCACGCCTCTCCCCCAGTGCCGGTGGGCACGAGGCTCCTCCTGAAAGCAGCGAGCAGACTCCTAAAGCCCCCTTTCATGGTCTCTGCGAACATTGGAATCTGGCATCATGGAGTCCGTGCACCCCCATATCCCTAGGTGCTCTAGACTGGCCTGACCTGCAGGGATCGTGCCCTAATCGCCCTGACATTCCCTGGCACAGCCCGATCATACTCTGGAATGCCCAGGCGGGGAATGGGGGCTCTGTTTCCTCCTTGCTCTGGACCCTAGACTTTGCTTGCTGGAGCTCCGCCCACCCAACCTCCCCCACCTCAGTTGACAGTGCCTCTCTAAGCGCCTTGCTATTCACCAGGGGGCAGCTCCTGGGGGAACAGGGATGGAACAGGTCTGACTATCCTTTTTGTGTCTGAAGCTACAGAAGGGAAATTGGACTTTTACCCACACCAGATTCTACAGGTGACTGGGGAGCCCAGAATAGGAATATTTCTGCAGGGGTCACTGAAGAAAGCTCAGAAAAAGAACACTGGACCTTGAAGAACTGTTGGGAGTTTGCCAGGAGTAGGAGTTTGCCAGGATTAAGAGCAGAAAGGGCACCTCGGCTGTGGGCATGTGTGGACCGTGCAAAGGCAATGAGATTTGGCAGTGCCAAGAACAGGCAGATGTAGCTAAGTGGAAGGTCTGTGTCGGGGGCAGGGACTTGCTCTCACCAGTGTGAGGGGGATGCCTGGCAGCCTCAATGAGGACTCAGGAATGTCCGCCGTTCCTGTTATTAGCTCATTGAGCCCTCTTTCCCTCTGAGAAGCCTCTCTCCCGTCGTCGTCGGGTAGAGGCTTGCTAGGTTTCCCCTGTGACTCATGCGGGATAGAATGACATGCATCTCAGTGCGGATTGCCTTCCAGCACACCCAGCTGCCTCTTCTGAGAACTTTGATCTTATTTCTGATTGTTTTTCTTCTCCCATCCCTCCTTCAGGTCAGAGCTCGCTGGGTCAAAGTTCTTTTTTTTTTTTTTTTTAATTTTTTTTTTTTTTTTTTATAGAGGCATGTTTTATTTATTTATTTATTTGTTTGTTTTGTTTATACATGCACTGGGTACAGTCAGAAGCGCGGGAGGGTGAGAGAATTCCCCAGAGCCAGAGCGGGGAGCAGAGCAGGCAGAAGGACCGAAGTACACTGCTGAGGGGAGCAGCGGGCGGCAGGAGAGGTCTGCGCGCCATGCGGGACCCTCCTCCGGTGGCCGGGGAGCAGCCGGGGATCGAACCGGCACCGCAGAGGCCGCGGGCAGCTTCGCAACCCAGCGCTCAACCGCTGCGCCACTGGGGAGGCCCTGGGTCAAAGTTCTTAAACCTTAAATCTGAAGTGAAATTCACATCAGGGAGGGGTGGAGGTGGGGTGAGGAGGTGGGAAGAAAAAATTCACCCACTAGCCGTAGTGCCAAGCCTGGCACGTTCACTTGCCTGGTAAAGAAGCATAGTGATGCCACTGGCAGCTTGTATTGAGCACGTTCTTCCAAGGTCTGACCAAACCTCGCCTTTCAGTACAATACCACTGTCAGGCCCATTTTACAGTTGAGGGCATTGAGGCCGTGGGGCAAATGAGTCAGTCAGGCTTTTTATGCCACTAGCCTCTGTGGCTATCACCCGTGGCCTTGGTTGTGTTGATGAAAAGGTGCTTGGGAATGGGGCATGTGTCCCTGATTGTGGACACCTGGGGCATGGGTGTGTGCAAAGAGTAAGTGTGCACACCTGTGCCTAGGAACGGGGATAAAAGGCGGTGTCACCCTGGGGGAGGAGGCTCAAGTTGCTGTCTCCCTGCTGGCTGGTTTCCCCTGCCCAGTCCAAAATTCTTTTAAACTGTTACAAACGATAGTGAACCCACCCAGCCTGGAATGGTTGCACAGCAGAGGCTCAGAGAGGCGAAGGGACTTGGTTGAGGTCACAGAGCTAGTAATGGCAGAGCTGGAATGTGAATCCAGGTCTGTCTCTTAATCATTAATACTAGACTCTCTCAATGTTGCACAAACTACTTTGAGCTTCTGCCTCTCCTCCTCCCTCCTAACCCAAGTGAAAACCTGGGAAGCAAGGAGGGTTTGACAAGAGGTTGGGCTGCGTCCTCCATCCCTCCTGGGTCTCTATCATCACCCCAACTCCAATTGGTCTTCAAACTTGGCTGCAATCAGATCCCAAAGTTCAGCCGTCCACTTGGCTGCCATGGCGTAGTCCAGGCTGATGCAGCTCAGAGGAGGGCCCAGCGCCTTCAGAGAACCTGGATCCTCGAGGGCCTCATATGCCCTGTCTGAAATAGGCAGCCACAGGGGCTGCTTTCTTGGGGGCTAGGGCCTTCTCCAGAACCACGGGCTTGAATATCCCCCATGTCTCTAGGAAGGGAATGGGGTCCTGGATTGGAAACGACCTCCTGCCAGGTCTGCAAGACTGGCTCTTCCCCGGAAAAGGTTCATCCCCTGCCGGCCCCTTGGTGCCTGGGGGACTGGGGTAGGGGTGGCCACCCTGGAGTGACCCATGGTGCTGACTGTGCCACCTTCACTGGCCCGGCTTCTGGAGGGAGATCCACTTTTGAGGCCATTGCCATTGCGAAGGTCCTGCTGACTGCGCTGGGTTCTGGCGCCCCCAGCTGCCCCCTAGTGGGCACACCACCACCTGCAGCTCCAGGTAACCCAGTAGGCCTTGGAGGTTCTGCTTTTTTTTTTTTTTAAAAAGATTTATTTATTTATGCATACAAAAGCTGGGGCACAGTCTAGAGGTGTGGGGGGTGAAAGGATTCACCAGAGACAGAGTGGGAACAGAACAGGCAGACTGACTGAAAACACTGCTGAGGGGAGCAGCGGGCGAGTCAGGAGAGGTCTGCTGCACCATGTGGGTTGCTCCCTGGCAGGCCAGGGATCGAACTGGTGCTGCAGAGGCTGTGGATTGCTTCATAGTGCGGTGCTTAACCCTATGCGCCACCAGGGAGGCCCTTTGCTGCTTGTTTTTTTGTCGGGTGGTGGCAAGTGGAGGAGGGGAGGCTACGTAGCTATATTTGGCTTCTGATTATGCCTTTCTTCCTCTGACATGTCCCCACAGTCCACTTCTTTCGGGCTGTAGTCCTGTTCTTAATTTCCATGTTACAAATGCTAGTTGTCTCTTAAGTACAATTGTCCCAATTTTCCCTCCAATAAACGACTTCAGAGGTTGTTTCACTTGACCAGGGCCCCAAGGTCGCACGGGGCAGGTATAAGCTTAGGTTCCACTCTGAAACCGTTTCTGTTAATGTTTGTTCCGTCCATGTGTACGTTGCGGAGTCCTGGCAGGGAGCAGAAGGCTGCCCCTGCTCCCACGTCCATGCTTTCTTCTCCAGCTTGGGGACACACTGCTGGGTCCCTCTGTCAAGCATCTGTTAAGTGCCAGGCAGGCCTGAAGCAAAGCACTTCACAAAAACTTCATTCCCACACCCACCCTGCAAAGAACGGAGGCTGAACGCCAGTGGGGTCGGCATCCCAGCAGCGAGTGGCTCTGTACTCAGGAGTGCTGGCTGCCAAGACCTGGCGGCAGGGCCACAGAAGGCCACGTAAATGCTTTCGGAAGTAGCAAACAGATGTCAGATCCTAAGTCTTGGCTGAGGGGGAGTGGGTGGGCCCCAGTCACTATGGTACAGAAGGGCAATATCACCTGGCATTCCCCGTTGTGGGTGCCCATGGGGACATCGTCATCCTGGGTGTGTCTAGCCCAGAACAGCTGGAGAACTTGGCAACAACTGAGAAAGGGCCCCTGGAATCAGCTGTGGTGCAGGCCTTTGGTCAAACCTGGCACCTGGCTGCCCAGGAATGTCCTCACTATGCCCACTAGGCCTCAGCTACACCTGAGGAGGCAGAGGCACTGTCTCACTCTCACCCCAGCCAGTTTGGGGCATCTTCTGCTTTGTTACCTCTCCAGCCCAGGGCAGAAGGTTTACTTCCTATACTCTGGCAATATGCCCAGCTGCCGAGGCCTCTTTCCTGTCTCCCCAGGGCTGGGTAAGAAGGGGCATCACAGGTCTGTGTTCAGAGTGCAGGGGAGGGTGGAGGTCTCCCCACCTTGCCTGGCATCCAGCCTGACCTCTTTGCAGTAGAGCTGGAGCTGCCCTCTCTTCTCCACTTGACAGAAAGAGCATCAAACACCCTGAAGGAGGTTTTCACATGACCTCCCTGGACACTCATGCAAAGTCTCCAGGATGCTGTGACCACGCGAACACTGACTCAGTTTTATCAGTGACTTTACTCCTCTCATCCAAGGACTCCCCAGCCCCAGCGTGGGAGTGGGGGTGTGCTGGGGCAGGGAGGGCGCCAAGGAAACGGTGTTCCTCAGCAAGGGACACTGAGGGCCAGAGGACAGAAGGCCCGACTCTGGCAGCCGCCCTCAGAGCCACAGCTGGAAGCCAGCCCACGTCCTGGGAGGCAGATTAAAAAAACCCCAAATCCAAAGACCCCTTTCTGAAAAAAGTCCCTTTTGTGTCTCCAGGGAGACAAGCTGCCAGAGTTTCATTCTTTAGAGTCCGTCCCTGTCGCGCTCCTGTCTGGGCCCACGCGGTCCAGTGGGCCTGGAGGCCTCCACCAGAGGGCCGTCAGCTGTTCTCATCGTCCTCCTCTGACTCTTCTGCAGACTCAGGGGCGCTGTCTGGCAAGTCATCTCCCATCTCTTGGAAGCTTCCGGACTCTGCATCCCACATGTATCTAATGGTCACCTTGAATTCTGCCATTTCATACCCGAAAAGCTTCTGTGAGAAACAGAGGCAGCCGGAGTCAGGAGGAGCCAGTGCCAAGGGGGGCTGCAGTCCCGCCAACCTCACCCCGCAGACTGTTGGAGGGCTAGCTCACCAGGACGCGGGCCTGCTCTGGGGTCAGCACGTCGCCCTCCTTGCACACCTCATAGTCGGACAGCAGGGTCACCACACCTGCGGGGACAGGCCAAGCAGTTACTTTCATACAGAGGCCTGTGCCCAGCCTCCCACCGTGGTCCAGAGCTGGGAGGAATCTGGCTGGCCAGCTGCCCCCCACAAAGCAGTACATGCTGGCAGGGTTAAGTTCTGCTGCCTGGGAGGGTTCTCAGTAGCAGCCTCCCCTGACCCCCGAGGCGCTGTGCTGCAGCTCTAATTCCCGCCCACTTTCTCCCCAGATGCTGTGCGCATGCAGCCCTGCGAGCCTGTGTGCTTGACCTTTCCGCTCCAGGTCTCGCCCGTACCTCTTTTGAGGGCTGTGGGCAGGCCCAGCTGCCTGAGCTGTGGCTCCATGGAGTGGGGGAATTGCTCCAGGGGCCCTGGGTCCAGGCTCACGGTGAAAGTTGCCTTGTTGCCGGCTCGGGCGTAGTCCATTTCTGCATATTTTGTGAACCATCTGAGAGGAGAGATCAGTGCAGGAAGGGAGGTTCCTGACTAGTCCACCAAAGTCAGGGTCCCAGAGTCTCCTCCTCCCTCCACCTGGTCAATCACGGCTGCAGGCCGGCAGCCAGTCCAGAGCACCAAGCTGGAGGGAGTCCAGACTCTTCAATAGGTCCACTTTGAACAGGGCACCACACTGCACAAAGCCCCTGGAAGATCCCTGCCCGGGTCCTCACCGACCTCTCTCCCCTGCTGCTCCTCAAAAATACCTACTCGTTCACTTCCTCCTTGGTGCGGTTGGTGAAAAGGAGTCCGACTTCACCCCTCAACTTCTTGCTGACCTACAAAGCAAAAGAGGGATCGGTTCCGTCACGGCGGAGCGGCAGTCTGCAATCGGGAACCAGTTTGTCGCTGCTGAGATGACGGGAGGTCAGGTGAAGCCAGCAGGAGAGAGGGACTGGCCTCAGTCCCCGTCTCCGGATGAGGCCCCGGGACCCACCTGATGTAGGTTGTCTTTGTACTCATCAGATGGGCTGCGACCCAGGGCCACCATCATCACTTTGTTTTTGCCGAAGAACATCCTAGAGAGAAAGGGGTCCATGAAGAAGTGCCCGCCCCACCCGTCCCTCAGCTAAGTGCAAACCAGCTCCAGTGCGTGGCGGCCCTGGCGTTCAGGAGCAGGCATGGCCAGAGGCTCACTTTCACACGGCCCTGCCGGCTCAGCCCCCAGCCCCAGGCCCGTCAGTGCTCTCCTGGGGGGATGTTCAGGGTCTTTCGTGTCCGCCTGCTCTAGGTGTCATGTTACTACCCACCCCCTATGCAGAGAAGAGCATGTCAAGTGATCTGAACCGGCACCCAGGCCAGCACTGTCACACTGCCAGGGAGCTGCTGCGTGGCTGGGGTAGCCTGCTCTCGGGTCTGGTGCATTTGGAGCACATGGCGACATCCTAGTGAGGAGTTGCTGAAAGGACCAGGTCTTTCTGGAGGGAATGCCGCTCAAAACGTTCCAGAGCAACTAGCAAGTCCTGCCCCAGGGCTCAGTGCAGGACCAGCTTTCACAGTAACACGTGCCCACCAGCTGGGGTGTGGCCCTGCGTCCTGTTAAGGTGCCACCTGTGACCCAGGCACCCAGGGTTCAACAAGTGCCCCTGTGCTTTGAGAGCAGCCCAGCCCCTGCCCCTGCCCCAGAAGGGCCCTCTTCCCAGCTCACCGGCTGTGCTTCCAGGCATTCCGGATGTCCTTCAGCTTGCTGTTCCTCATGTTGGCCACGGAGAAGATAAAAAGGTACTTGTATGTGTCCACACATTTCCGTAGCTGTGGAACAAGTGATGGGGCTCAGGAGTTCGAGGCAGCATGTGCTGGGGGTATCGCTCTGGTCTTAGATGGGAAGGAATTGCTCCAGGTCCCTTCCCCTGTGCGTATTATAGCTAAAGGCTTCAAATCTCTCCACCTCCACCACTGAAGCTAGGGTTACTCCCTACAGGGGGTCCTCTGAGGCCGAACACATGGGATCTCAAGGTGCAGGGGAACCGAGTTAAGACCCCACACCTTCCTGAGTTTCTGAATTATGTGTGGCCAACCATGGCAGCTAGCCACTTTTATTTGCTCTTTGTTAACAGCCAACAACCCACATTAAGTGGGCCCCTGCTAAGTGGAAACAAAGTCACTGGCCCTACTCTGCACTCAATGCTGGCCGCAGCCTGCATGAGGCGGTCTCAAGGACGGGGCTCTTGGCCCAGGAGACTGCTCTCCCCAATCTGCAGTGTGAAGCAGCACAGGCTGTGGGTCAGCATTTACCCATGTCCACACAAGGCCTTTGATGCTGGGCAGGCAAATCTCTAAGTTTCAGTTGCCCAACCGCAAAATATCCGTGACGGCACCTTGTGTCACCTCGAGGGCTGCTGTGAGGATGCTGTGGAATGACCTGTGAAACCCTCAGCGCAGCAGAGGAAGGAGGGCCAACTCAGCAGCTTGGTTTTTGTTTCAAAAAACAGTCGGGGCCATCCCTGGTGGCGCAAGGGGTTAAGGCACAACCTGTGAGGCTGTCTGCAGCCTCTGCAGCACAAGTTCAATTCCCGGCTGGCCAGGGAGCAACCCACATGGCGCAGCAGACCTCTCCTGGCTTGCCCGCTGCTCCCCTCAGCAGTGTACTTAGGTCAACCTGCCTGTTCTGTTCCCCACTCTGTCTCTGGTGAATCCTCTCACTCCCCACACCTCTGGCCTGTACCCCAGCTCTTGTAGGCATAAATAAATAAATCTTAAAAAAATAAAAAAGTCTGATTTTCCCCAATAAACAGTCGTAAGCCCACCTTTATAAATAAAATACTAAAAAAGTATAAAGAACAAGATCTCACCTCTTCTATCAGGTTCTGTTTCAGTTCCAAGCCTTTCTTGGCAGTTTTGGTTAAGGAAACTGACACAAAGAAGAAGACAACAATGAGAAACAAACCTGGGTGGCCAGAAGACTCACTTTCTTCTCCCTTAGGGAGCTGGGCTGAATCATGTCAGTCTGAGGAAAGCCAGTGAGCTATTCCCAGGTCCTCTCTCCAGCAATCCTGAGCCTGGAGATCCTTGATGTTTCTGATGCTTGGACAAACTAAGTGATCTGTAGCCTGTCTTAGCGGAACCTAAAAATCCCCACTGAAATGTGGGGGCGGTATTGTTCCTGCTCTAGGAGTGCTCTCCATGGGTGAGTGCTTTCCCAGGCTGCTGGCTGAGATGTCCTTGCCTGCTCTTGGCCATGGTACAGAGACCATGTGTGGCCGGGCTCTGCTGTGGAATGACAAGTCTGGGAGCTGTATTTCCTGTTAGTCTCTGCACTTGTTTTGCAGTCTGGGCCCACAGATGGAGCAGTGCCTCTGGGGAGGACAAGCATCTATATGTAACAACAGCTGGGCTCCAGTTTGCCCTTTACTAAGAAGGGTGTGGCAGCTGCCAGATCCAACCAGGGCTCCCGTCACAGAATTTAATCATTTTTAACACATTTAAAAGAGCACACCAAATGCAAAGTCCTGGGTGCCTCCAGGAAGAGGCCACCTCTTAAATCATTCCGCTGGGTACTCACAATCCCTGCTCACAAGGTATACATATAGAAAGGCAATCACACCACTTAGGGGCAAGTGTAGCAAAGATGGGCAAACAAAATACAGGTGTCCATTTCCCATCATTTCCACTGCCAAATGTGGTCTCAGCATCACCTCTCGTGGATCCCTGCTGGCCTTGCATGCAGCCCTCTAACCCCGCCTCCCGCAGTCTACTCTCAACAAGGGCGCTAGAGCAATCTTTTAAAAGTAAAGTCAAACCACGGCCCTCTGCTCAAGGTCTCTGATGGTTTTCTGTTTCTCTTGGATGTAAAGGCGAATTCCTTTGCAAAGGTCAGTAAAACTCTGCTCACTATGACAACCCCCTCTGTCCCCTTTTAATCTCTCGGTTCCAGGGTCTTTGCACTTTGGGTTCCATCTTCTTGGGAAACTCTGTGCCCCGCGAGTCACTCACTCACTTTCTTCATGTTTCTGCTCACTTGTCACTTCATAGAGAGGCTTTCTCTGGTCACATTATACAAACTAATATCACGTTCTCTCAGTTTTACGCCACGGGGCTTATCTCTATCAGACTACTTATTTGACTCAGTATTTTTGAAGGGTTGGGAGGGGGGAAGCTATATCTGCTCTGACAAAAGCGTTAATGAAGCTCCACGAGGGATAGGTCTTCCTTGTTCTACTGCCGTGAACCCCCAACGCCCAGAGGATGCCGGGCCCTTAAATATTTGCGTGAATTTGCTAGAGATCCGGGAGGAGAGAGACGCCACCGTAATACACCCAGGGACGGACTCTTAACAAGTGCTGTTATGGTACTGACAGCTGAGAAAGAGCCAGCCACGTGAAGATCGCAGCGCCACCATGCCAGGCAGGAACAGCTACCAGGACAAAGAGCTAGCTGCTAAAATAATCTTGTGCGGAAGGAAGGGAAAGGGGCCGGGGTGGCAGGGAGCGCCACGAGTCGGCAGGAGTGGGCGGCGGCTGAGGTGGAAAGGCGGTCTGAGGGGAGATCGGGCGCAGCCTGGGCGCTCGGAAACTGTTTCCCGGTCCGGTGCGGTTGGCAGCGCGAGGGAAGCCGGCAAGTCTCGGGTGCTCAGGCCGCCCCAGCCCGCTCTGGTACCGCGGCCGTGCCTAATCCCGAGCCCACTCGCAGCGTGGCCGCCAAACGCCCCCATCCCGTCCCTCTGAGTCCCGGTCGCAGCGAGCACCCAGCCCGCAGCCCGCGGCCAGCCCCCGGAGCGCCCCACAGCGTTGCAAGCCCCCCGCCTTGCCCACCTTTCTTGTCGCGCTTGGATTTGGGCATCGCGCTGCAGCCACGTGCGGCGGAAGACGGGGCGGCCCACTAGGACCCCGGCGCCGCGGGGGCTTCTGGGGCGGCGCTCCGGGGCTGTCCTCGCGCGTGCCTGACCCGATCTGCGCTGGGACCCGCCTCTCCCCGCCCGGCCGCCGCAGGCGCGCTTCGTCGCGTCTTCAGGACGACTCTCTGCGCGTCCGGGTCCTCCGAGCTCTCAGCGCCTCCCCGGGGGCTTCGCGGGCGCTCCCAACTCTATGGTTCCGCGGGGGCGCGGGGGGGGGGGTGTCTACGGCCCGGTGCATGCTGGGCCGTCGGCGGGCTGGCCCGAGGTCCCATCATGGCGGCGGCGGCTTCTTGCCGGCTCTGGCTCTGGGTAGTCCTGCTTCTCCCTGCAGCCGCGGTCTACGAAGACCAAGTGGGCAAGTTTGATTGGTGCGTACGTGTGGGAGTGTATTCGGGGAATGTGTGACCATTTCCCCAACACCTGTCTTCTGTCTGGAGAGAGGGATGTTACCATTCCTCAGGTCTGACTGCATAAGGTGCAGCGCCCAGGGCAAAATGAGATGTGGGAGCCGTTTTCAAAAATTAGGAGTTTTTTTTACTTGGCGACAGCAGAGCGTTAAACAAGCATTGGGGGCGCTTCTAAGCCGGACTCTGTGTGACTGTATAGGTCGCAAGCCGGGGAAGCCGGCCCTGCCTTTCAGACTTGCTTGGGGTTCTGGTCAGAGGTCTCTGTACCCTCTTCCCCTGTCAGGCCCCGTTTATGTGACTCTCCGGTTTCTGACCGACTGGATATCAGAAATCACCAGTGAACTTTCATTCCTCCTCAAAGTGGCATTTCTCGGGCACATGAAAGGGACTTTGGTCTTACAAGTCTTAAATTGAGTCTTCCCCTTCCTCTGAACGAACAGGGAGGATCCTTGGCCCAGAACAGGCCCCACCCAAGACTCACTTTTGCCAGTAGGTGCCATTCATGCGCCTACTCACCCACCCCTTCCTTAAGGTCATGGAGTTGACTTGCTTTTGTTTGAATCTCAGTTTTGCCACATAAGCGTTGTGTGATTTGGGGACAATAACTGAACTTGTTATGTGCCTCAGTTTTTTTTTTTTTTTAAATCTGTAAAATGACCTGCAGTAGTTGTAAGGGTGAATGAGGTAATTTTTTTTAATTACTTAGCACAAGGCCTACTCTTTGAGTGCAGTCAGTAAATGTTGCTCCTTGTTATTACTATTCAGGGAACACTCTGTAAGAGCCTGGCTTAGATATCTCCTCTGTGAAGTCTGTTTTGTATCACATAAATTGTTACATGTTTGTTGTGGGCCAACAATTCCAGGTGCTATGGATGCAGAGATGGAAAGGAGCTCAGTCTAGCAGGGCAGGTATGTAAGTGTGGGATATATAATATCTATACATTACACTTGTGTATCATATATGGTGTGATTCCAGTTTAGCAGAGTACTATATATATGCAATTTGAAAATTGAAAACTCAGCAAAAGGGAACACACCAAACTGTAAAAAGTTCATGGTGGTTGCATTCTGGCATTAATTTTTTTTTTATACCTTTAGTTATGTATAGCGTTTTCTATAATTAGCAAGCATTTCTTTTATAATCCAGCTAAAAGTATTTTTTTTTTTATGCTTACAAGAACTGGGGTGTACGCCAGAGGTGAGGGGGTGAGGGGGAGGGTGGTGGTGAGAGGATTCACCAGAGACAGAGTGGGGAGCAGAACAGGCAGATCTACTGAAATAGACTGCTGAGGGGAGCAGTGGGCGAGACAGGAGAGTTCTGCTGCACCATGTGTTAGCTTTCTAGAGGGGGATCGAACTCGTGCTGCAGTGACTGCAGATTGCTGAGACTTAACCCCTTGCGCCACCAGGGAGGCCCTTATGACAGTATTTTAGATGAATGCATGGGATTTAGAATCAGAAGGTGTTTATTCTGTGTTCAAGTTCTGACAGTAAATAGTTGACCTCAGTGGACTTGGCTTTCTTACCTGCACAATGAGAGTCATAATATTTATCCTGTATACTTCACAGGGTGTTCAGTGGATGCAGTGGGAATAAAGTATGGGAAACTGTCAAATAAGCCTACCTCTAATTCCAACTTAGCTTTTTCTTTAAAAAATATTACATCTAGGGCCTCCCTGGTGGCGCAGCGGTTGAGCGCTGGGTTGCGAAGCTGCCCGCAGCCTCTGCAGCGCTGGTTCGATCCCCGGCTGCTCCCCGGCCACCGGAGGAGGGTCCCACATGGTGCGCAGACCTCTCCTGCCGCCCGCTGCTCCCCTCAGCAGTGTACTTCGGTCCTTCTGCCTGCTCTGCTCCCCAGTCTGGCTCTGGTGATTTCTCTCACCCTCCCGCGCCTCTGACTGTACCCAGTGCTTATATAAATAAATAAATAAATCTTTAAAAAAAAATTACATCTAACAACTTCATGACAAGACAAAATCAGTGCAGACGTCACTTGTGTTTAACATACTAGTGATTGCAGTATCTCATTAACAGCAGTGTGCCAGCACCTTGTATGTACTTGGTAGTGTGCCATGTTCTAGTCCCTTTACGCTTAGGTAAGAGTGTTGAGGTAATGGGATCTAGTCCAAGGAAAGTATTGCATCCAGAGTCAGATGGATCCTGAACTTGGGCTATAAAAGACTGTGAAGAACAAAGACCTGACCCAGTTTATGGCATTTTGTTGAAAAAATTGGCACAGTTTTTCCCCAGACATCAATGAAAATAGAAGGGCAAGTTGGAGTGTATGTTCATCAACAAGAGGGTTTGTGTAATGTGAGGGTCTAGCCCACTGTCAGTGAGTGAGGAGAGGATTGTAATGCTTGGTTCTCTGGGATTTAGGCCAGGTGCTCTTGCGGGTGTTGCTTATCGTGAGGTAATTATGTGCTTGCTTTAGAAGGAAGGCTTGTAGTTCTCATCTTTTGTGCTGTATTCTCCCTTCTTGTTCCCTTTGCTTCTGACAACTTGGCAGACAAATATTGCTTTTGGTCAGATCTCTTCATTGACAAATGTTTGTCATACATGCTAAGGAAGAAAGGTGTGACGGTGATATCCTCACGTAGTTGTCTTTTTTCCAAAGCATTTCATGCAGTGATGTTTTGGCCCTTTACATTTTCCCCGTACTCTTTTCCTCAGGAGACAGCAGTATGTTGGGAAGCTCAAATTTGCCTCCTTGGAATTTTCACCTGGATCCAAGAAGTTGGTGGTAGCCACTGAGAAGAATGTGATTGCAGCATTAAATTCTCGGACTGGGGAGATCTGTGAGTGGTGGTGTGGGCTGGTCAGTGTGGGATGGAAGCTGACCGTGGTGAATCCAGAGTGGCCTGGGGTTTGTGGAGTCTTCCTGGCTCATTCCCAAGTTAGGCCCAGGTTGGCCAGAGGATGCATCTCTTACTGGATGCTGACACATTTTCTTTTTTTTTCTGGTTTTGTCTTTGAATATTTAATATATTCCTATAACTGAGGTTTCCAGTTTATATTCCCTCAGCTTGAGCACGGAGTATTGTTAAATAAAGTGTTGTTGCAAACACACGTTTTCTTCTGTTTTGCACTAAAAGTTTGGATATCCCCCTAATGTGACTTATACCGCTTTTTTAAAAAGGTTTATTTTCATTTATTTATACATACAAGAGCTAGGGTGTAGGCCAGAGGGGTGAGAGAGAGAGAGAGAGAGAGAGAGAGAGAGAGAGAGAGAATTCACCAGAGTTGGGGGCAGAACAGGCAGACTGACTGAAATACACTGCTGAGGGAAGCAGTGGGTGAGACAAGAGAGGTCTGCTGCGCCATGTGGGTCACTTCTCTGGCAGGGATTGAACTCGTGCTGCAGTGGCTGATGAGAGCTTGATAGTGCTGAGACTTTAACCCCTGCACCACCAGGGAGGCCTGACTTATACTACTTTTATGAATGTTTTTAGGCCCTAAAGTCATGGAAATGTGATTTGCGGCCTCTGTTTTTCTTGTGAATTGTATGGTTATTGTTCGTTTCGCCATTGCTCATTTATGTTTGTGGGGTGATAGTAGGAATAGGAAGTGCAGAGATCTCAGGTTGGGACAGTAGTGGCTCTTCTCAACCACTCGTCCCATCATTACCTGGTAGGAATGATCATTGTCAGTTAGCTGTGATCCTCCCTTACAAACGGGACCCCCCCATGAAGGCCTTGTCAGTTCTCTCCCGCCCATCTCCTTGGACGGCTTTCTGCCATTGGTAGTAATGTCTGACTCTCTTGTCTCTCAGTGTGGCGCCATGTTGACAAGGGCACGGCAGAAGGAAATGTGGACGCCATGCTGCTCCAGGGGCAAGGTAAGTCCAGCCCTGCATTGTCTTTATTACGGTGTCAGCTCCCTCCCCCGTTCTTTGGTTCTTCCTTTGTACAGGCTTTGCAGTGAAAAGTGGGGAGGGGGTGTGTGTTCCCAATAGGGTAGGACAGGGATGCAAGTAACTTCTATTTGCACCCATGTGTCAGAGGTGAAGCCATTGCTTACCCTAGGAGGCTGGAGAACACCAGGTGAGGTGACCTCACCATGGTCTTTTCTCTCCCAGATGCAGTCACAGTGTCCAATGGAGGTCGGATTATGCGTTCCTGGGAGACTAACATCGGGGGCCTGAACTGGGAGATTACCTTGGACAGTGGCAGGTAAAAGGGCAGGAGCTGTCTTTCATCTTGGCTTGGTTAATGACTGGGCCTTTGGACTTTCCCCCTCAGGGACCACTTAAGAGCCAAAAAGCATTTATCACCCAGTTTACGATGATCCTTAAGGTTCTGGAACACATGCCTACTCAGCCAGCAGTTTTTGAACTCCTCTTAGATGCGAGCTCTGTGCTCACTGCAGTACTTTCTGCTGTACTTGCACACTTGTCTGGATCGTACCAAGACTCGGGGGCTTTGTGGCATCCTAGATAGAAGGATGCAACTATGATGTTTAGAGAACAGCTTGAGCTCTGCTTACACCTGTGCTGAGTTGTTTTAATTATAGGTCATTTACCTTGATATTCATTCTGTAAACACTTGGCGAGGCCCCAGGTAGTGGAAACAGTGACACCATCTCTGTCGTTGAGGAACTTGTCAGCTGGGGGGCATGTAATCCAGTAATGACAGGATGTCTGAGGGTGTCATGAGGGTGCCATGGTGGAGGGTTGACCTGGTTGCTGTGAGGTCCCAGGGGAAGAAGGGAACAACCCTTAGGAGCTTGGTCGGGGAGAAGGAATGGGGAGAAGTTCGGGGCTTCAGGGACGCAGTACAGCGAGGGGTGGAAAGTGTAGGATCCAGTCGGCTAGTGAAATAGAACTAGGATTAGGATCCAGATGCCTTTTTTTTAATAAAAAAAAAAGATTTATTTATGCATATAAGAACTGGGGTAAAGGCCAGAGGTGCGGGGGAGGGGGTCGGAGGTGAAGAGGATTCACTAGAGAGAGAGTGGGGAACAGAACAGGCGAATTAACTGAAATACACTGCTCAGGGGAGCAGCGGGCAAGCCCGGAGAGGTCTGCTGTGCCATGAGGGCAGCTCCCCGGCTGGGGATTGAGCTCGTGCTGCTCTGGCTGCCAATAGCCTAATAGGGTGCTTCTCAACCTCTGGCGCCACCAGGGAGGCCCAGGATCCAGATGCCTTTGACCCCCAAGCCTGTTTTTCGTAACTAAGCTCCAGTGATGGTGTCCCCGTCATCTCCTCTAGCCTGAGGCTCTGGGCTCACACCGTGCCTGTGCTCAGTTTCCAGGCCCTGGGGCTGGTCGGCCTGCAGGAGTCCGTGAGGTATGTTGCGGTCCTGAAGAAGACCACTCTTGCCCTCCATCACCTCTCCAGTGGTCATGTCAAGTGGGTGGAGCATCTCCCAGAAAGGTGAGGCTGCCTGCCTGTCAGGTGCATTCCTCATCTTGCTCTCTCCCAGCCCTTTCTCCTTGAGGATCCCAGAGTTGGCTTTGGGCCAGGCTCACTTTGGCATCTTGTGCACTGCCTGGGGCTCCCTAGATTGAGGCCTGAACTCAGAGGTTGTGCTGCGTCTTGCATTTCCTTTGCTGTGAAAGAAAACTCAAAGCAGTCAAGCAAGGGGAGTGGCTCATGGTCACAGGACAGCAGGCATTTTGACTTGTAATCCAAGGCCGACTGAACCTTTCATTCCTGTTAAGAATTAGAACAACTCAAGAAGCTCCCTGAGTAGGAGCTTTCTGAGGTTTGAGATGGTTTCCAGAGGCCCCAGTGGTGGAAAGCATTGGGGCAGGGAAGGAACAGGAGGGAGGGTAGGAGGGAGGGGAGCATCTGCTCCAGTCCCTGGGGGGCTGAGGGCAGAGCAGGCCCAGAGGGGATTGCTGGGAACAGCAGTGTGCCTGGCTGACCACTAGGGGGAAGCCTTACTCAGCTGATTGGTGCCCTAGAAGAACTTCTGGACTGATCTTTACAAGTGACATCTCAATTCGAAATCTTGGCAACTGATGGAAATACCCATTTTTTTTTTTTTTTAAAGTTAAAAAATTGAGCCACTCACAACTTACTTTTTTGGGGACTGATAATTTGTGACATCTGGCTGAGGGCCCGGCAGCCCGGTTTGGGGGTCCCCTGAGGCTGGTCCCATCCTGAGGCTAATGTGTTGTTCCTGTGTTTCCCCTTTTCTCAGTGACAGCATTCATTACCAGATGGTGTATTCCTATGGCTCTGGGGTGGTGTGGGCCCTCGGAGTTGTTCCCTTCAGCCACGTGAATATTGTCAAGTTTAACGTGGAAGATGGAGAGATTGTTCAGCAGGTATGGTTGGGTCCCTGGCTGGAGGAGCCTGGTAAATTGGGGAGGGGACTAGGTGGAGCCCTTCTTTGCAATGGGGACCACAGAACTTGGCTGGGCAGCTGGAAATTGCATTTTTGGTCCCTGATCCTCATCAAGTTCGGGTTCTTCTCATCAAACATTTATTTAAAGCCTTTACATTTGCACGTGGTACTCTTTTGGGGTGGTTAAAAAAGCTGCATAGAGGGCCTCCCCAGTGGCACAGCGGTTGAGCACTGGGTTGCGAAGCTGCCCGCGGCCTCTGTGGCGCCGGTTCGATCCCCAGCTGCTCCCCGGCCACCGGAGGAGGGTCCCACATGGCGCGCAGACCTCTCCTGCCGCCTGCTGCTCTCCTCAGCAGTGTACTTCGGTCCTTCTGCCTGCTCTGCTCCCCACTCTGGCTCTGGTGAATTCTCTCACCCTCCCGCACTTCTGACTGTACCCAGTGCATGTATAAACAAAAAACAAACAAACAAATAAATAAATAAAACATGCCTCTATAAAAAAAAAAAAAAAAAATTAAAAAAAAAAAAAAAAAAAAAAAAAGCTGCATAGACTCTTCATTGTCCACAAGTATTTTACAAGATTCTACTGTAAAGTAACAAAACCACGTCTGACAAATACAGCAGAGAGATACTTATCTGAAGTGTCAGGTATTAAAAGTGATCTGGCATATTTTCCCAGTGACCAGAAAGAAACCCATGTTTTCTCCAGCTTTGAGCACTCTAAGCTGGCTGGGGAGGTGGGACGGGATAGGACGGGAAGAACATCTTTGGGATCAGCCATGAGGAAACTTTGTGCTTAGTAACTGAAAAGGGAAACGTGAATATTCTGACGGGCCTCCTGTTTCGATGCCTCTCCCGTAGGTCAGGGTTTCGACTCCTTGGCTGCAGAGTCTCACCGGAGCCTGCGGTGTGGTGGATGAGGCTGTCCTGGTGTGCCCTGACCCAAGCTCATGGTCCCTTCAAACCTTGGCCCTAGAGACAGAGTGGGAATTGAGGCAGATCCCACTGCAGGTGAGAAACAGGTGCTGCTTCCCTGGGCCCGGGTTGCGGCCTTTGAGCTTGGTCTTGCTCCCAGTGTCACTGCTTTGTTCCTGGGCAGCTGCTGGCAGGAGGTCAGGCCTCTGGCTGAGCTGGCATAAGGAGAAATGGGCCACTCTTCTCTTCAGAGATCCTGATTGGGAACTTCTGGAGCCACATGCCACGGCCTGCTTACTCCCCCCAGCAAAGTGGGGCAGAGGACGCCAGCCTGGGATGGACCAGTGGTTTGTTGGTTTCTGGTCCTAATCGCCCTCCTCCTCACCTCCCAGTATCTTGACTTAGAATTTGCAAATGGATTCCAACCCCGGGTCCTGCCCACACAGCCCAACCCAGTGGATCCTTCGCGGGCCCAGTTCTTCCTGCAGTTGTCCCCAAGCCACTATGCTCTGCTGCACTACCACGATGGGGTCGTGAGTCTGCTCAAAAACTTCCCACAGGTAACTGCAGGACTGTTTGCTGGGACTGCAAGCCCTGCCTTGCTCATGACAGAAGACATCTTCCCCTAAGTGGTTTGAGGGGGTAACCGTAGAGCAGGAATGGACCATTTTTCTTTTGAGCATTACAGAGGCTATTTAACATAACGCTCTTCCCCTGAGACCACAGAACAGTGGGAATGTTGCTGAGATCTTCCCTCTGGGTGCGATGAGCAGCGTGGGATTTAGGGCTGACCAGTGCCCGTGTTGGAGGGAGGCGGGAGTCCTGTTTGCAGCTGTGGGTGCCCCCTCTGCTCGCACATGACCTGGCCAGAAAGCTCCAAGCCTGGGAGTACTTCATGTCCATGGACAAGGAGAGCCCCCCTGTGGAGGTGATTCTAGGGCTGCTGGCGAGTACAGGCTGCACTGAAGAACTAACGCCTTGCTTTCCCGCCAGACTGCCCTCGTGAGCTTTGCCACCACCGGGGAGAAGACAGTGGCTGCAGTCATGACCTGTCGGAATGAAGCCGTGAGTATCAGAGTAACACCAGCTCTTGGAATTTTCCTTCCTGGTCTCTGCCAGAAGCCCTGAGAAGCCAAAGTCTGGGCTTAGGTGCCTCGTCAGTTTGAATCGGGACAGGAGGTTGTTGAGAGGGAAGTTCTCGCTTCATATAAAGAACTTAGCGAACACCCCCGGGGCCCTAATATGATCACCTCCCTTGCTTTAGGACAGTGAAGGGTTGCATGGGCTTTGTGGGTAGGAATGAGAAGTGAGATTTGCCTTCCCCCAAATGCTGGGAAGACCTGGAAGTGAAAGCTTCATTTTGGTGACTTTGAAGTGACTCTTCGGCTCAATTTTCTCCTACTGTCCTCTTTCCCTACCAGAGACCTAGCAGTTCTGAAGATGGGTCGGTGGGGAGCTTTGCAGAGAAGTCTAGTCCACAGGTAGGTGTGGCAGGGGCAGCATGTCAGACCTGGAGGCCCCTCAGTGAAGTTGGGGGAGCAGCTCAGGCTAAGAACAGGTCTCCTGGACGTGTTCTAAGTACAGTACATTACACCTCCCTTCTCTTGCTCCTTTTTAGTTGGGAGATTAGGAAGTAGAATCCCTGGGGTCTGTTCTTGAACCACTTTCTCCTCTGGATCTTAATTTCCCCATTTCTCTTGGGATCCCAGCTGGGGCTGTTGAGAGGGAGTGTATACACTGCCCTGTGGGTCCTGGCTCCAAGGCACACGTTTCTTGTGCTTCCCTTCTGAGCTTTCCTGAAGGATCTGTTTGCCCTGCTCCTGTCCTGGCCTCTCGGACAGTCTCTGCTACTGTTTCTTTCTGGAACAAGTGCAACGCCTGTAATTTTATTTACTCAGATACCTTTTTCCTGCCTTAGTGATTAGCTTTCTTTCCTCCTCATTGCCCTGTGAGCATATTTCCTCTCTGGCCTGGGTCTTTCTCTAGGGTATTTGCCCCCAGTTCTTTGCTTCCTTTGGGGGATCCTTCTAGTTGACCCCATGCTATTTCTCTAGGACTCACTGACTTGCTTCAACCAGACCTACACCATTAACCTCTACTTAGTGGAGACAGGCCGGCGGCTGCTTGACACCACCATCACCTTCACCCTGGAGCAGAACGGCACTCGGCCTGAGCGGGTGAGTGGAGATTTTGTCTGCATGTTCTGTCCTATGGACTTTCAGCATGGGGCTCTCCTTCCTCAGGGCCAGGACACAGCCATGGGTCCCTGATTAGGCCCTCCTGAGCCACTGACTTGTCATAAATCCCCATGAATAGCCATCACGGCAGAGGCCATATATGCTTAGTTGTCACTGTGACTGGCTCTGTGCTAAGCTTTTTTACTTAAGCATTAATTGAGTCAACCCTTGAGACAATCTTGTCTCTCGTTTTACAAATGAGGAAAGTGTGGATGTTCAGGACCCTCTCCAGATTTGCAGTCCTAGCATTTGGTTGCTAACTCCACAGCCTGCACTCTTCTGCCTCTGCACACTTTGTGTGCTCCTAGCCACTCTGAGCTGTGGCTTCTTCATCTCACAAGTGAAAAATCTAACCCTGGCCTTGCTCTGCTGGGTGTGGTTGGTGCTTAATGAGTGCTGTGGAGCCCAAAAAGTGCTCAGGTTCCCTGGCAGAGGGGTCTGAGCGGGGTCTGGCAGCCCTTACATGTGCTAGCTTCTTGGAGTCCAGGTCGTGGCTTATTATCTGGATGCACGTCTGAGCAACAGTGAAGCCATCACCCTGGCTGCTGTAGGTTCCTAATGCTTTGAGTCCCCAGACTGCTGCTGAGTGGTGCTTGGGTTTGTGTTGACCGTCTGGTCTCACTCTTTGCCTGCAGCTGTTCATCCAGGTGTTCCTGAAGAAGGATGACTCTGCTGGCTACCGAGCCCTGGTGCAGACAGAGGACCACCTGTTGCTTTTCCTGCAGCAGCTAGGTGAGCTGAGCTCGTTGAGCCCTTTGATGGGTTAGGCCTACCGAGGCGTTCCAGTCAGACTGCATTACGGGGCTGTGGATGGGCTCCTGGGAAAAGTTCAAGTGGAGTGAAATACCCTGATTATTTTTTCACCTGCTTTTAATAAATTTTCAGCATTCTAGGGTGGGTTATAGAACTTTGCTCACTTGACCTGTTGAGTCCAGTCTTTTGCTCTGCTGCTTTTTTTTATACACACTGACCCCTGTGCCCTCCAGAAGCTTCCTTCTCGGTGATGGGGGAGGCAGACTGAGCTTTTATACCTGGTTCCTGCAGCAGGAAAGGTGGTGCTGTGGAGTCGGGAAGAATCCTTGGCGGAGGTGGTGTGTCTAGAGATGGTGGATCTCCCCCTCACCGGGGCGCAGGCCGAGCTTGAAGGAGAATTCGGCAAGAAGGCAGGTATGAACCAAAGCGGGTAGGACTGCAGAACTGCAGGGGGGCTGTGCATGATGGGCTGTTAGTTGGACCACAGGAGTTGCTGTCTCGGCCTCCTGCCTCCCCAGGGGAATGCTATTTTGCCAATTGCCAGTGCGTTTGTGTAAATCATCCGTTGGAAGCTGTGACCTGAAAATCCCTCTAGGGAAAGAGCCTGAGAAAAGATGGTTTTGACTTGGTAATAACTGCATTGCCTGATACCTGCATATTTGTCAGACACTGCACTTACTGTCCCCACACCACTCATGGCTTTCCAGAGAAATCTGCCTGGATTGCTCTTGGTCGCGTGCCCTTGGGAGCGGACCACAGCCCCACCCTCCAGGAGGAACCTCATTCACTGCCCTGGTTCAATCTTGCCTCCTACCTCACCCCCTTCAAGCCATTTATCCAGCTAGCTAGTGAATATTTATTCACAGTCTGCTCTGGGCCAGGTATTCTGCTAGGCATTGCAGATTTTTTTAAGCCAAGGATTAATTTGATTTTACTATTTATTTCCGCTGCCTGGATCCAGCGATTCAAGGTAAAATTTGCTTCCTGCTGTCTTGTTGCCTGCTGCCTGCCCACATGGCTAGCTTTTGTTTTATTGTTTTTCCTGATTTGCATCAGTGAGGCACTTGGCTCTGTGTGTGTGTGTGTGTGTGTGTGTGTGTGTGTACACTTGAGTGATGTCTGTGACTTGTCCTTTTTGGTGCTTGCTTGCTTCTTTGAACTGAGGCTGATGGAAGGAAAATAGGATAAGCAGAGGCACTACTCTTCAGCGAGCACTTCTGTCTGCCCTGCACCACGCCACATTCTGTATGTCCATCATGGGGTCTGGTCTTTGCAACAGACCAACAGGTTCCATGTGTTTTTCACACCATTCCCAAGATTACTCAGCCAGTAATTAGTGGAGCTGAGATTTTAACCCAGGTCTGCCCGACTCCAGAGACCATGCTCTGCAATGTGCTGCTTTGGTTCAGTGACCATATCCACCCTGTGGAGGAGACTTGAGGGTGGCGGCCACCTCAATGGAGTCAGGGTAGAGTGACTGATGGCCCTGGGAGCTGGTTGCAGGTTGACGTGTCGAGGTTCCACATAGGTGGAGCAGGAATGAAGCGTGGGATGTGGAGCACCTGTTCATGATACACATGCATCTGTGCCCTGCACCCTCCCTTTTGCTTTGTCATGGCACCAGAGCCTTCCTCTGGTCATTCTGGATGTGGGGCTGCATCTTGCATGGCTACCCCTGACCTCTTGGTCTCCTCTGCCAAGATTCCAGCCAGGTAGAAGACTAAGAGCCAGGTAAGTGGGTTGTAGAACTTCTTGCATGGACCTGAGTGTGACGCAAGCTCCTTGGGCTTGTAGCCTGAAGTGTGGACAGCTTGAACCTCCGTGGATGAGGGAGAGATCCTGCATTAGGAAAAGCAAGCACCCCCTTGCTGGCAGCTCCTAGGCTGATGGGGAGTGAGCCTCAGTCATATTTCCTTCTCCTTGACTCCAGATGGCTTGCTGGGGATGTTCCTGAAACGCCTCTCTTCCCAGCTCATCCTGCTGCAGGCATGGACTTCCCACCTCTGGAAAATGTTTTACGATGCACGGAAGCCCCGAAGTCAGATTAAGAATGAGATCAATATTGACACCCTGGCCAGAGATGAATTTAATCTCCAGAAGATGATGGTGATGGTCACAGCCTCTGGCAAGGTGAGAGGGGCTCAAGCCCCAGGTCCCAAACCTCCTAAAGTTCCAGAAGTGGGAAACAGAAAACCTTTGTTAGTGTTCTAATTTCCAAGGGTAGAATCGGGTCTTTGCCTTGTCTTTTTGATAGTGAGCCAGTTGTTTGTCTGTCTTGCAGCTTTTTGGCATTGAGAGCAGCTCGGGCACTATCCTGTGGAAGCAGTACCTCCCCAATGTTAGGCCAGACTCCTCCTTTAAGCTGATGGTCCAGAGAACTACAGCCCATTTTCCCCACCCCCCACAGTGCACCCTCCTGGTGAAGGACAAGGTGAGGCCATCTCTGCACCTCTGATTTGAAGCAAAGATCTTCCTTTACCTTTGGGATTCTGTGAGCATTAAAGAGGGCGCGCTCAGGGCCCAGAGCTCTGTGTGATCTGCTTTTTTCCCTTGTGGAGGAGCCCTCCAGGACTGATGTGGGATTGACTGTAAAATGGGTATGGTGTGGCCAGATCCATAGGAAGCCATTTCTCTCAAATGCAGGCGGCTCTGAGCTGCTGATGGCTGTCACTCCGTGTGCTGGAAAGCAGGACACAAAATTTCAGTCCCTACCTCCCAAATATTATGGTGGACTTTTGTGGCTTCATTCTAGTGTTGGTAGACAGGGGGGCTTGAGAAGAATGGAATGGAAGCCCCTGGGGTGGCTAATTGGTATTTGACCTTTTAGTATTCGTCATGTGTCTAGTTCTTGGTTGACTTTGGAGCGCAGATACTTTGCCATTTTTCCTTTTACCATTGACCTTGTGGACCACTTACCTTTTAGCCAAGACTTTTTTTTTAAAGATTTATTTATTTATTTATTTGTACTAGCACTGGGTACAGTCAGAAGTGTGGGAGGGTGAGAGAATTCACCAGAGCCAGAGCGGGGAACAGAACAGGTAGACTGATGAAATACACTGCTGAGGGGAGCAGCGGGCAAAGCAGGAGAGGTCTGTGTTCCATGTGGGACCCTCGCTGGCAGCTGGGGATTGAACCGGTGCTGCAGAGGCTGCGGGCAGCTTCGCAGCCCAGCGCTTAACTGCTGTGCCACCAGGGGAGGCCCTCAACCAAGATTTTTAAGAGGGCAAAGACAAGGGATTCCACACAGTGGGGTTCAAGTTCCAGCTTGCCAAATGTACCCTTAGGATTTGCTTTCTGTTCATGTTGGTGGAGTCAACAGCTTGCCTGCTTATTTCAGGAGACGGGAATGAGTTCTCTCTATGTCTTCAATCCCATCTTTGGGAAGTGGAGTCAGGTGGCTCCCCCAGTGCTGAAGCACCCCATCTTGCAGTCTTTGCTTCTCCCCATCATGGATCAAGACTATGCCAAGGTGCTGCTGTTGATAGATGATGAGTACAAGGTAGGGCATCTTGGGTGGCTGGAGCACACGGTAGAGTCGGCTGAGATGGGTGGTCAGCCAGGACCATCCACAGTCAGTGCATGTTGGGGCGTGAAGGGCGTCTCTAAGGGACTCGATTTCACAAGCTTCTGGGCTTGTGAAAACACAGGTTTTTAACTAAGGTAAAGCCTTAAATGAGCTCAGTAGACTTGACTTGCTTAAAGATTTGCTGTTTCATTAAGTCTCTCTCTGATGGGAAACAGAAGCTCTGCAGAGATTCTCAACCTTTTCCTATAACTCTTTTCTTGGGCTCTGGGGGTTTCCAAGGTCACAGCTTTCCCAGCCACTCGGAACGTCCTGAGACAGCTCCATGAGCTTGCCCCTTCCATCTTCTTCTACTTGGTGGACGCGGACCTGGGTCGGCTATCTGGATATCGACTTCGCAAGGTAGGGAAGAGGCACCCTGGCAGGGCATGGCCCTTTGGAGGAGAGACGTGGTGTTTCCTGGTGGTGTGGCCAGGAGGGCAGTTACAGTGTTGGTTCTCTTGGAGATGTGGGTCAGCACAATCCTGATGTCTGATTCACGCTTGTCGTTTCTTTATCTTTTTTGACATGGGGCAGGCACGGTACTAGGTGCTGAGGAAAGAGGAGGAGATGAAGTCTCTGCCCCCATGGAGCTTTCTTTCCAATTTCCTTGCCATAGCAGAGGAAGGGACATCTTTATCTCTTGGGCGGGTCAGTGGTGGGAATGGGGGTTGGGCAACAAGTGCACGCTATACAAAGGCGAGCTCCTGACGCTGTCTTGATAGAATGTATGCTCTGAATATGTTTTGGGAAACAGGATAATTTGCTCTGATTCTGACATCCTTCAGTCCACCTTTTCCAGACAGTATGTACACTGGCTCGCAAGTCCATCTGTGATGTTCACAGGGCCTTGTTAGCAGAGCTGTACGGAGGAATCATTTGTGGTGTGGATACACCAGGTGGCCCTCCCTTCCTGCCCTCTAAGAAGTAGTACAGTGTAGACTGTACTACACTGTACAGTAGTACAGTGTAGATTGCCCCCCCCAACCGCCCCCCCCCCCGCCAGGTATGAAGCCTGGTTGTTTGCAGCAGCACGTGTGTGTGTGTGTGTGTGTGTGTGTGTGTGTGTGTGTGTGTTTAGGGTCTGCATCTCACTGAAACTGAGTTGGCCTGTATTAATACGCGGTTTGCTTTTTTCACATAACATTTCTGACAATATTTTGTTAATAAATTCTTTTAATTAAAGCATACTGTCGATAAAAATGCAAGACGAAATTACAGCTTAGTGCCCATAAAAGGCTGACACCGTGTGCCCATCAGATCTGGAAGCAGATCTGATCCCTGCCCTCTGGGGGCGCCCTGGTGCCCCTTTCGAGTTACTGCCCATCCCAGTAACTCCATGGAATTCCCTTGTGTGGATATGTAATAATGTAACTGACCAGAAAGGTCTGCTTTTTGACTTTCTGTGACTAAAGAACATGTGTAGTGTCTTGAGGTTCTCCCCAGGTTAGTAATTCGCTGCTGGTCCATATACAGGGGTCTTCGATTTTATTTATTTATTTGCTTTTAAAGATTTATGTATGTATATATAAGAACTGGGGTACAGGTCAGAGGTGCGGGAGGTGAGAGGATTCACCAGAGACAGAATGGGGAACAGAACAGGTGGATCGACTGAAATACACTGCTGAGGGGAGCAGTGGGTGAGACAGGAGAGGTCTGCTGTGCCATGTGGGTCAGCTCCCTGGCCGGGGATCGAACTGAAGCCGCAATGGCTGTTGACAGCTCCATAGTGCTGAGACTTCACCTGTTGTGCCACCAGGGAGGCCCATGGGATCTTAGATTTTAATGATGGTATTTAATAATGAATATTCCTCTTTTTTCTGACTGGCTTTAATATCTTAATCTAATGGAAAGTTCCAACACTTTTTCACGAACTAGATGCTTACCACTCTTTTTTTAGGAGCTCTGATCTCTGTTCCCTCTGGCGCGAAGGCCCCAATAATGGGCTGCAGGACATGTCTAGCTAGCACTGTCTCGGGGCTGAGTGTTCTGTCCTGATCGCCAGTGCTGGCTCTTTTGCCCCTGCCTAGGATCTCACCACTGAATTGAGCTGGGAGCTGACCATTCCCCCGGAAGTACAGCGCATCGTCAAGGTGAAGGGGAAGCGCAGCAGTGAGCATGTTCATTCCCAGGGCCGTGTTATGGGGGACCGCAGCGTGCTGTACAAGGTATGCACACAGTCTCATGGAACGCAGAGAAGCAAGGATTTGAAGGCAGCCTCCAGGATCTGGTAGATACACGACCTGGAGCGATTACATGACATAGTCGCGCTCTGCCCAGTGCCTGCCATGGGGCCACTAGCTAGCAGACCTAGGTGCTCACTGTTGTTATTACTAGTGCCATACTGAGAACTTTCTGGGCTTAGACCTTAGCTGCCTCATCAGGTGAGAGGATTCACCAGAGACAGAGTAGGGTACAGAACAGGCAGACCGACTGAAATACACTGCTGAGGGGAGCAGCAGGCAAGACAGGAGAGGTCTGTTGCGCTATATGGGTTGCTCCCTGGCTGGCCGGGGATTCGAACTCATACTGCAGTGGCTGCTAATAGCTTCGTAGTGCGGTGCTTTACCCCTTGCACCACCAGGGAGGCCCCTCCACGGGAGTTTTTTTTTTGATAGCTTCCTGCCATGTGGCTGCAGGCAGCTTTACTTTTCAGAATGACCAATGTATCACTCATTCTCAAGTGTGTTTTTACTCGAACTAGCAAAAAATATATCCACTGCAATTTTACCTTTACAAAGTAAAATTTGCTAGCATGCTTGTATTTCCCCATGTTGGAATGAATAGTAGTTAGGAACAGGGCCTTTTGGATTCATACTTGTTATATGGGCTTTAGGTTTACCTTTTTTTTTTAAAATAAGCTTTTTTTCTTGGCTTAATTTTAGATTTACAGAAAATCTGCAAAGATAGTACCTGGAATCCCTATGCGCCCCTCCCCGCCCGACACATCTGTCCAAACTAACACACCAACATTGGCACAATACTGTTAACTAAACTCTGGACTTTATTTGGGTTTCACCACTTTTTGCACTAATGTCCTTTTTTGTCCCATGGGCCAGCATCCCACACAGCATTTAGTCATCAGGTCCCTTTGTTTTCTGCTGGTCTCTGACAGTTTTCCAGTCTTTCTTTGTTTCATGACCTTGAGAGTTTTGAAGGGTACTAGTTAGGGGCTGTGTGGACTGTCTCCCGGTTTTGCTTTGTCTTATGTTTTTCTCATGGTAAGACTGGCCATGGATTTCTGGAAGGAATACCACAAAAGGAAAGCAACAGTTTTTTTTTTTTTTTGAATGCCAGCTGGTTGCCAGGCATTCTTGTGGACACTGGAGTATATCAGTGAACAGAAGAAATGAAATTTCCCATCCTCTTGAGTTTTCCATTGGGTTTGGGAAAGGCTAATCAAGAAAACAACTAGGTAAATTTCATAGCATATCAAAGAGTGACCAGTTCTATAGAAAAATAAAAAACCTAGAAGAGGGAAAAGGAGTGCTGGAGTGGGAAGGGGATATAATTTAAAACAGGGTGGTGAGGAGGATCTCCTTGAGAAAGTGACACATGAAATTGAAAGAGAGCGGAAGTGACTCCTGATATCTGGGGGAGGATCCTTTCAGAGCATGCCCGGAGTGTTCCTGAGCCATCAAGGAGCATATGTGACCAGAACAGAGTCAGTGGAGAGTCCCGGTTGCTGAGGTCAGAGAGAGAGCAGGGCCAAACTTCAGGCCATCACCTTTATTTTGAGTGAGTCGAAGAGCCGCTGGGAAGATTGGAGCAGAGAATTGACATCACTGCAGTTTAACAGGCTCACTTGGTTTGTGTGTTTAGACTAGACTATTGTGGGCCAGGAGGAGAGCCCGCCTAGCTGTGGGGCTGTGGTGATGAGTCTAGGGGAGAGGATGGCTGCTTCTGGTGGGTTGGTTGGGGTGGTGAGAAGGGATCAGATTCTGGATACATTTGAAGGTGGAAGAGGCCTTAGGCTATGTTGAGGAGTAGGATGTTTGTCTGTGTCAGAGGGAGAAAGAAGTCAAGGACTTAGAGGTTCCAGGTCTAAGACATTGAGGTCTGGGAGGCCTGGGTGGAGCAGGTTTTAGGAGTTCAGCTGGGGCATGTCAGCTTTGAGAGGAGGCATCTGAGACACTGAGACAGCAGTCTGCCAGGAGTTCGGGGGAGGTCTGGCCTGGATGTGTAGACTTGGCCTTGCTGGCACCTGTGCGTGATATGAGAGCCGTGAGAGGGATGGAGATGACCATGAGAGCGAGTGCAGCAAGGAGTACCCAAGGGACTGGGAGATGAGAATGAACCCACAGCAGAGACGGAGAAGGGGTGGCCAGTGAGGCTGAAGGGGAGCCGGGGAACTGGTGTCCTGGACACCAAGTAAAGAGCTTCAAGGAGGGAGTCCCATGGTCCCTATAGCTGAAGTTAGGCCAGGACCGTGACTGAGCGGTCCTCCTGAGGACCCATGGCGAGAAGCACTGTTGCTGGGGCTGGTGCTCAGCTCATGATTGTACCTGGGCTTACTAATTTCTGTGTCTGATGAGCAAATTACTTAACTACTTTAGGTCTTTCCTCATCTGAAGTGTGGGCAGTAGTGTATCTACTTTGCAAGGTGGTTTATGGAATCAAATGACGTGTTATTGGCAGGTTCTTGGCATGGCACTCCACACCCAGCAAACACTAAACAACCGTGGAAGGTCTTGTAACCAGAAAAACCTCATTCCTTGGCCAGGCTGTGAGCTCCTGGTCTGTCCCACCATCCAGGCTCAAAGTGCAGTGGAGCTCATGAGGAGATGACATGCCACCATAGTTCTGAGGTGCTTCTCTCTTTCTCACCAGAGCCTGAACCCCAACCTGCTGGCCGTGGTGACAGAGAGCACAGATGTGCACCACGAACGCACCTTCATTGGCATCTTCCTGGTAGACGGTGTCACCGGGCGCATCATCCACTCCTCCGTGCAGAGGAAAGCCAAGGGCCCTGTCCACATCGTGCACTCGGAGAACTGGGTGGTGGTAAGAGTGGCAGAGAGACCCGAGTCACCACCAGGGACATGACACAGCTTCAGAGTGTGTGGCCAATCTCCCTGCAGTTAAATTCCTCTCTTGCCCCCTGTTCCAGCAACTGGTTGCTGCTTTGCATTTTCAGAGGCTCCAGAGCCCCTGGGGCTGGGGCAGGCTCAGGCTCAGCTGACTTGGTTTAATCCTGGCTCTCCCATTTCCTTGCTTTGCAGTCTAGAATTTATTATTTAATAAAAATAGTTGCTTCCCCTCCAAAAAAAAGTTAGCTCATCTAGTTTAGAAAGATACTAAGCACATAGTAAGCACTCAGACATTAGCTATTATTATTCTGACTTCGAAGATTCCTCTGTCTTCTGGTCAACTTTGTATAGCCTAGATAAAACTGCCCTGAGAGTTAGAAAATGCGGTAACAGAGGAAAATTGGGGTGAGGGTGGTGTCATCCCTACTGGAATATGTAGCTGATAAGAAAGGTGCCTTGCTATGGAATCCTCCAGCATCTAAGCCCGGGCTGCCCCTTCTCTCTGCAGTACCAGTACTGGAACACCAAGGCCCGGCGCAACGAGCTTACGGCGCTGGAGCTCTATGAGGGCACGGAGCAGTACAATGCCACGGCCTTCAGCTCCCTGGACCGCCCCCAGCTGCCGCAGGTCCTCCAGCAGTCGTACGTCTTCCCCTCCTCCATCAGCGCCATGGAAGCCACCATCACCGAGCGGGGCATCACCAGCCGGCACCTGCTCAGTGCGTGTCCAGGGGTGGCAAGTTCCTTTGTTCCTTTAGGCAGCCACTACAGGATAGGGCTGGGGGTGCATTGCCACAGTGCCGTCTGACCACTGTCGGGAAGGTTGGTGAGGAGAGCTTTGCTTCAGCAGAGAAAGCTCCTTGCAGAAGCTTTGCCACCCTAAAAGGTGACATGCCTAGTCCTGTCTCAGTCCGCATTTCTGGTGACCTGCATCACTTCTCTGCTCTGAGTTTTGGCCTTATTCAGAAACCTAACCCCTGATTTCTTTCCAGCCAGTAGCCTGTGCTGATCTGCAAAACTAGCGAGGTTTCCGGTAGCATCCTCATGTGGTCTGTATTCAGTGGTGTGTAACATGCTGCTCAGTCCAGCTGATCATATCAGAGATGTTGGGGCTCTCCACCCTGACAGGCACCTCATAGGACTTCCATTCTGAAACATGAGAAACAGGCCCTCTCAGCAATTTCCAAGTTTAGTCCCCACTGGTCCTGAATTTCATGTTGCATGGCAGGGACAGGTGTTCTGGGAGGGCAGGGAGTGGGGTGACAGGATACAGGTAGCCTCCTGTGCTCATCTCTATCATTGTTACCCATTTCTTGATTCTAGAACTTTATTAAAACGTGGGAACCTTCATTCAGACCTATGCATGTTACGGGGTTATTGGTTTTGGCCATTTATTTTTTAAAGATTTTATTTATGCATATAAGAACTGGGGTACAGGCCAGAGGTGTGGAGGATTCACCAGAGACAGAGTGGGGAGCAGAGTAGGCAGATTGACTGAAAACACTGCTGAGGGGAGCAGCAGGTGAGTCAGGAGAGGTTTGCTGCGCCATGTAGGTAGCTCCCTGGCCGGGGATCGAACTCGTGCTGCAGTGGCTGCGGACAGCTTCATAGGTTGCATCTTAACCCCTTGTGCCATCAGGGATGCTGCTTTTGGCCATTTAATTTTTTTAATAAAGATTTATTTATTTATACAAGCACTGGGTACAGTCAGAAGCATGGGAGGGTGAGAGAATTCACCAGAGCAGAGAGCAGAACAGGCAGACTGACGAAGTACACTGCTGAGGGGAGCAGCAGGTGGCAGGAGAGGTCTGCTCACCATGTGGGACCCTCGCCCGGTGGCCGGGGATTGAATCGGCGCTGCAGAGGCTGCGGGCAGCTTCGCAACCCAGCATTCAACCGCTGCGCCACTGGGGAGACCCTGCTTTTGGCCATTTAATGGCCCCTCATTATCCTGATTTGGGGCATTAATTATTTTACATTTCTGGGATAGTGACTTTTTGAAAATAGCCCTACCTGGGATTGGATCATTGTGAATAGTCACTTCTGTTGACTTCTTTCTTTGCAGTTGGGTTACCTTCCGGAGCAATTCTTTCCCTTCCCAAAGCCTTGCTGGATCCCCGCCGTCCTGAAATCCCAACAGAACAAAGCAGGTGAGGCCCTTGTTGACAGTGCTGAAGGCTCTAACCTTAAGGAACTCAACCTATTGATTAAGTTGGGTTCTCAGCCTGCAGTACTGACCTGCTGTACTGGCGGTGAGTAAAGACCGAGTGGAGGTAAGAAGCAGCAGTTTATGGAAATCTAGGGAGAACTTTCAGGATAGAGGGAACAGCTGGTGCACATGTTCAGAGGTGTCTGGCGAGTTGGTGGGAGGGCAGGATGCCCGAGAAGATGGAGGGCACCCTAGGAAACCCGAGGGCTGGTCATATGGGGAAGCCGGTTACTCATCCCTGTCAGTGTTGATGTTTATATTTCCCACTATCACCTCTGCATATTTTCTCAACTCCATTCTGAATTCCCTCTCTATGGGGTATGAGGAACTGCGAGCAGGGCGAGGAGACTGCAGCTCTGTCTCTGCCTGTGAGGAAGGGAGGGTGTGGTGAGAGAGGGGACGTGAAAGCTGGTCTGTGTGTGCTAAGAGGATCTTCAGAGGATGAGGCGTAGGAACTGACCTAGTGGCTCAGTTGTTTAAGTTTTTAGCTTTAGAACAAGGTAGGACCCGAGCTCTGCCTTAACTCCAAGCAGCTTGCTTCTGTGCAGCCCTTCCTAATGTGCAGACTCTAAATGTTTTACTACTCAGTGCAAGTAGACCTTGCGGGAGTTGTGAGGCGAGATAGCCACTAGTGACCTGAAAATCTCCCATGACTCAGAGGGCAGCCAGGAGATGCCCTTACAGCCCTTTTGAATGCTGCTCCCGGCTGATGTTTTGCAGAGAGGAGAACCTCATCCCATATTCCCCAGATGTGCAGATACACGCAGAGCGATTCATCAACTATAACCAGACAGTTTCTCGAATGCGAGGTATCTACACGGCTCCCTCGGGCCTGGAGTCCACATGTTTGGTGAGTAGAGCCCGGAGCCCAGCCTGTACCACCTTCCCCACAGACACCCCCCTGGGTGTCACCTGCTTTTTGTTTCACCCTTGGGAGAGCAGCTGAGGGTTCTGTTTCCTTTCTTAACCCGGCTTGCGGTTGTGGCAGATCACTAGTTGCCTCTCTCACGTACTTCTTGTTCCCTCTGCCTTCCAGGTTGTGGCCTACGGCTTGGACATTTACCAGACACGAGTTTACCCATCCAAACAGTTTGATGTGCTGAAGGACGACTATGACTATGTGCTGATCAGCAGTGTCCTCTTTGGCCTAGTTTTTGCTACCATGATCACCAAGAGGCTGGCGCAGGTGAAGCTCCTGAACCGTGCATGGCGGTAAAGACCCAGCACCCCTGCCAGGGAGCAGAGCCCAGGGGAGCGAGGGCCATAGCTGCTGCGTCGAGACAGGTCAATGCTGAAGTACTGGTGCTGAGTCGTGGGGAAGAAGATGGGCTTTCGTGGAGGCACCTCACAGGAGCCGCCTAATGCCCAGTCACCCACGGGTGGAGGCGGTGTTCACCGTCCTGGCTGAGACCCTCATAGCATCTTGCTGGCCTTTGCCCTAAAGTTCCAGGGCCGCTGCCCTTTTCCCTTGTTGGCAATCCACAAGCATTGCCCTTTGTTTAAATTTTTTTTTTTTTGTGAGACCTCCAACAGACTTCTCTCTCGTGAGACCTATTTAAATGGATTTTTCTTTGTCCTCTTTGTTCCCCAGTTTTATCTAGAAACTCTAATGACCATTTCCCTGTCTCTTGCTTCAAAGTTGGGAGGAAGCTCTTACCAACAACTCCTTAGGTCCGTTTGCTCTTTTACTGGGGAGAAAGAAGACCCAATCTTAGCTGAGGTTTGAGGACTGAAGCCGCCTCCCGTAGCTTCTCTCCACTAGCTTAGGGGTGAAGAATCTACATGCTGTCAAACCTTATTTTAGCTGAGCCTCTAGTTACATTATCTCAGGGGGAGGAAGGGCCACTTCAGGTTATCAGAAGCCAGGGCACAACAGCCTCTTGGTTGGTTACGGCCTGTGCTTTTCACCTGACATGCTTCAGAGCTGAGGCCTTCTGAGTACCACTGAGTTGCCTGAACCCCAACTCCATGTCAAGGAGGGGGAGGGAATCTGCCCCATGCACGGCATCTCCTCGCCACCAACAGGCTGCCCTGTCTTTCAGCCTAAGTTGGCTTTGTTTAAGAATCTCATTATTTATTTTTGGTTTTAGATAGAAACTGGCCTATGTTTCAAATCAGTTTTAAATCTGATTGCAACTTAGGAGAGAAAAAGTAGGGGCAGAAGCTGGTGGATGCGGTTGTGGTGTTGTGGATCTGCTGGGCCATTGGCTCTGCTTTAAATTAAAGAGGTCCTCCAGGTGTTCCCTCATTCATAGATTCGGGGATGATGGAGCTTTTTCTTCCCTGTGGAGATTGAAATGTACAGAGCGTAGACCATCTCTAGCCCTGTGGGGACACGCAAGTGTCTGAATAAAGCTAGTGATGAATGATGTGAATTTAAGTCCTTTTTTGTGGCTTAGGAAGATCACTTTGAGGCTGCTTTGCATCAAGAGGGGACAAGAAACTGCAGAAATGGAGTGAGGGTATCCAATTTAAGTCTACAAGCATTGCGTTATTTACAAAGAATTTTTTTAAATCTTTGTTTTTCTATGCTGATGGTAGATGATGGCAGAGAAGAAAAATGAAAATAATTTTTGTAATGAAATTGTGCAATTGACTTTAATGAATAAGCATACATCTAAGTAGCTCCAGAAATAACTGGCCTCTATTCGTCCTGACTCGGCATATTTTGTTTAATGTGACCTGGGAGAAGGGAGTAAGTATGAGTTAAAACAATTCTGCCCTAGTTTTGAGAAAACCTGGATGGAATTTTGACTGCTCTACATATAAATACATGCTGGCTGTAGCATGGCCCTGTTCTGCCCGTACAGCCCAATAAATGTTCAGGTCTCTGGTTTTCATTTCTAGAATTGCAAACAAGCCAGTGGGAGGGGAGATATCTCCCCTTTTATAGCATTTCCTGTCTTTTGGTTTCAGTCATGACCACTTTACTGAAAGTTACCTCAAAGCAGGTGCTAATGGCATGGGCAGGCCCAAGTTTTCAACCTTTCTTAAGTCTTGAGGAAGCACTTGCTTCTGTGTTGCTTTTTCCTCTGACTCTTGAACCTGTTTCCTTTTGATTCTCTGACCGGTTTGTACGTTGGCCTCCCTCTATGTGTGTGCATCTCCTGAGAGGCATCTGTTCCCCTATTTCATTAAGTTAATTAATATGGAGGCTTCCCTGCAACCCTTCACTAAGTAAGATTTTTCTGTCATTTAATTATTTTAGTCAACATACAATATCTTTTGGTGGAAAATTTTACAGCTAAGTGGCAGTTGGTGATTTTCAGTCCTGTTGGGAATGATGTAAAATGATATGTAACTTTCTTTTTCAAGTTTTCCTTAACCTTTGACTCTGGACAGGAATCAACTTGGGGAATTCCTGTTCCCCAATGCATGAATTATAATTGCAGCTATAATAGAAGATTCAAGTTCAGTAAGGATCTTTCTATATTTTTTTTTAGAGAATTTTTTTTGGGGGTAAGACAGTTACCCTCTTTTTAAAATATAACTACTGATTAATGCTTTAGAAGTATAAGAAACCAGTTTTTTGAAGAGGTTAATATCTGTTCCCTTCCCCTCATCTCCAGCAAAGAAAGGCGAGTAGGCTAATATGTGGATAATGTGATTTTACTGTTATAAATTGGGATGACTAATAAACAGCCCTGCAATTTAATACCGAAACAAGTTACAGAATGAAACATTTCTGAAACGCAAATAAATTTGTTAGCTTTCCTCAAGTGTTTATTTTTGCTTAGAATCCACAATTCTAAATTGCATGTTAACTCACTGCCTTTCTCTGGAGTAGAATTCTGAGCTTTGATTGCCCTTTGGTCTGCATTGGAGTAGGTGTAAAGCTCTCGCATTACTTTTTTTTTCATTGAATAAACTGGACTTACAACACTGTGTAAATTTAGGTGTATTGTGTTACTTTGATATATTTGCATATCCTTGAGTGCTACTGTAGTGCCATCACTAGCACACAGCAGCACAGCCTGTACTGCTTATTTACTGCTGTAGCAGGTTTTGTTATGTCTCTTTACTACTGTAACATGTTTGTTGCCATAAATAACATTTTCAGCCCTCTACCCAAACCCCAGCCCCCTGGAATCATCATTTTATTTTACTGGTTTTTTACAGGTTTGATTTTTTTTTAGCTTCACATGTAAATGATGTCATATAGCACTTTTTTTGAGTTATCTCAATGAACATAATGTGCTCCACGTTCATCCATGTTGCCACCAATAGCAGGATATCCTCTGTGGCTGAACAATGTGCCATTGTATGTGTATATCCTTTTAATCCACTCATTCATGGGTGGACATTTGGGTTGTTTCCATATCTTGGCTATTGTGATCAGTGCTGTGATAAACATGGGAGCACAGAGATGTCACCAAAAACCAGTTTTCATTTGCGTTGGGTATGTATGTGCCCAGAAGTGGGATTGCTGGATTGTGTGGTAGATCAATTTTTAATTTATTGAGGAACCTCCATATTGTTTTCCATAGTGGTTGGACCAATTTACATTCCCAGCGACAGGTCTTCACCAACTGCTTGTTCTTCATCAGTGCTGTGGTCTTCTTGCTCATAGGCTCTCTCCCCAGCTACACTGGTTGCTGAACTGTGGCTTCCTGCTTATCTAGCACTACAGAATAGCTGTGCTCCAGGAAGTTTAAGGTAGGTTAGTATCTCACCTTGTTACAAAAAGCACTTACACAAATGCAAATGATACATAATAAAATAAAATGAACATGAATGAAGTGGAGAGCAGGAACAAGAGAATAACAAAAAGGGGATGGTTGAGACCATCTGTGGTGGTTACCCCACTTACAATCCATTTTTAAGCTACTCTAAAATCAGTCCCTAATTAAGCCAGAAATTGGTTTGGGGATAGTATTTCATCAGAGCCTGTTCTTGAATGGATTTTACAACTTGGTGCTATGTGTCTTCTAGAGATGTTAACAACTTGATCATACTATTTAATTTTTTTTTTAAAAAGATTTATTTATTTATTTATACAAGCACTGGGTATAGTCAGAAGCGCAGGAGGGTGAGAGAATTCACCAGAGCCAGAGTGGGGAACAGAATAGGCAGACTGACGGAGTACACTGCTGAGGGGAGCAGCGGGCAGCAGGAGAGGTCTGCGCACCATGTGGGACCCTCACCTGGTGGCCGGGGATTGAACCGGCACTGCAGAGGCTGAGGGCAGCTTCGCAACCCAGCGCTCAACCGCTGCGCCACTGGGGAGGCCCTAATTCTTGTTTTTTTAAACTGATGTATCTTACTGTGTATTCGCAAAGATGATCTAAATCTTTTTTGGATCAAAACGATAGAAAAAAATACTCAACTTCTAAAAGTATATCTAGGAGACTTTAATGCAAGGCTGAATGTGTTTGCATTATTTCCATAAGGGCACAGGTTACAAGGTCTTTCGGCTATAAAATTTGAGATTGATAATTTCATTGCACTGTCCTAATTGTAAGGGTTTACAGAATCATCCCAAGACTTTATTTCTGGTTTCTGCTCATTTAAAATTTGTTTTTTTAAGCCATGAGTCTGTCTGTCTCTAATTAGCCTTTACTTGAAAATTTTTTGCCCTTCTCAAAATCTGACTTCTCCCAAATCTTAAACCATTCCATCATGCCTTCCCTGTTGATTCTGGCTAGCCAGGACCTCTGAGTTTCCTGACTGCTAACCACATAGTTTCCTGAATGATGTGTCCTTTTATTATTTCAGTTACTCTGTCTCTCAAGGATTGTAAAACTATTTTCTGAACTCCCCGTTATTTTAAACACAAATCACACAAATTGGCTACTTGGCAGGAGGTTCCCTAAATGGTTAGAGCCTCTTCATAGAAGTCTGAGGGCATGAGCTGCTGATAGCTTCCTAGTGCTGAGACAATCCCTTGGGCCACCAGGGAGGCCCCCTCATCGGTCTTTCAATATGGAAAGACACTTGTATTCTATGTAAATGAACTGCTTAAATTTTGGTCACCAAGTTCTTTAAAAGACTAAAAAGTTAAAAAAAAAAAGTGCCAAAGAAATTAAGATGAATCTCCCCTGTTACCTACCCTCTATTTTCCACAGGTAACCACTGAACAATTTGGTATGTCTCCACATAATGTTCTGCAACTTGATTTTATCACTTACACTACTTCATGGAGAGCTTTCCAAAACTATTAGTAATATGGATTGGCTTTTTTTTTTAATGGTCAAAAGGTTGTAATTCTTTTTTTTTTTTTTTGGTGGGACCCTTGCTGGCGGCCGGGGAACGAACTGGCGCTGCAGAGGCTGTGGGAAGCCTCGCAGTTCAGCGCTCAACCGCTGTACCACCAGGGGAGGCCCAAAAAAGGTTGTAATTCTTAAGTGTTACTCTTTTAGAGACTTTTATGAACTCAATCAAATATCCTTCCAGAAAAGTCCATCTTGTGTCATGTGGACCATCTTCCCAAGTAAGTATTTGTAACCAGGGATATGTGCACCTCCATACTAGGCAGAGTTAATGTGTGATGTCCGTTGAGTCTGACGTCTAGTCCAGAAGCCATTTCCCCACCAATTCTAAGGCTTATATACATTTTTTTTCTTTTTTAAAAAAGATTTATTTATTTATACAAGCACTGGGTACAGTCAGAAGCGCGGGAGGGTGAGAGAATTCACCAGAGCTAGAGCGGGGAGCAGAGCAGGCAGAAGGACCGAAGCACACTGCTGAGGGGAGCAGCGGGCGGCAGGAGAGGTCTCCGCGCCAGCCACGTGGTACCCTCCTCCGGTGGCCGGGGATCGAACCGGTGATCGAACCGGTGCCGCAGAGGCTGCGTGCAGCTTTGTAACCCAGCGCTCAACCGCTGCGCCACCGGGGAGGCCCGGCTTATATACATTTATGATCTATAATACTGATAAGTATAGAGAGGGTATCCTTATAAAGCTGCCACAACTTATATCCTAGTCCGCTCTTGTCTACTGTTGCCTAACATGCAATCTGAATGAGTGTAAGTCAAGAAAGCAAAAATACATTTCAAAGGTTCATTTATTAAGTTTCATGGTACTTTATGGTTTTGGTGATATTGTATATCACTGTGATAAAATAAGCTAGACCAGAGGACAGATAAACCAGAGTGGCAGTTTGCTGATGATAAAACTGTCATTGCAAAGAGGACTTAATGTCTCTGTAGTGAGGTGGAGTCTGTTTTCTCTCTTATGGAAAAAAATATGTATAACAGGTTAAAATAAAAGTTTGCTTGGGCATCAGGGAGTTAGAATGGGCATGTGAGAGCCAGTGTCCAGTGTATGGTTTTTACCAAGAAACCAGAATGTTCACTTCTGCTGGCTTGGACGGCCCCTCCCTGCTATCCTCCTCCAAATGCTAGAGAACACTATAACCATTTCACACCACTTCCCTTGACTTAGGGTGTATTGCTTCCCTTATGTTAAGTCACATTTTCCGAATCACATGCAAAGTATTTGCAAGCTTTTTCCTGTTGAATTTTATTTTTTGTACCAAGGTGACACTGGTTTGCAACACTGTATAGGCTGCAGGTGTAGTTTCTCACTTGGCAACTGTTACCACACTGCCCACCACCAAATGTCCTATCACCACCCACTTCCATCTTTTGACTTTTAATTTTGACATGACTTCAGATTTACGGAAAAGTTACAAGGATAGTATGGAAAATTCTCAGATCCCCCAAATATTAACGTTTGACTACATATGCTTTATCCTCCTCCCTGGCATCTTCTCTCTCAATCTCGAGGACCAACGTGGCCCTGGCAGTAACAGCTAAGGAATATAGAATCAGTTTACAAAACACTGTGGCTACATTTTGGATCTTATATTTAAGATTCTGGGTTTCTGTTACTCTGTAAAACTGACATTTTGGCACAATTGCCAAAATGACTTCTCTTAAACCAAGGCTACAAGAGACATTTTCTTTGCTTTTAATTCATATAAGATACAGTATGGTGGAGATACGTAATACTTGTGGGTTACAACGAACTTATATTAGAGTAATATTATTCTATTTTCTTGTAATCTTGGTATTAAAGAAGTCTGTTCCTTACGAATTACCAAAAGGAGCCACTCTCAGCTCTCCATTTTAGTATTGGGTGTTGCACTGCACGTTTCCACAGAATGTACCTACTACTGGTTTCTTGTAACTTTGTAAAAGCTTAAGAATAGTGTGGGCTGCTGGGAGCCAATCGCTGTGGTTCACTCTGCTGATTGTTTATAAACACACAGTATCTGTTAGGGTTTGTTTCAAGTAACCATAAGATGACAGTTTTTGAAACAAAAATGCCATGTTTTTGAACAGAGAATGAGGTTCCTGAACTGACAAAGACTTGTTTTTAGGTTGCAGGATAATTTATAACTACCGAAGTGTACATTATCATAAACCTGTAGCTCAGAAATACTCTGTGTATCCATGTAACCATGACTGGTGTCAAGACAGAACTTTTTCAGCCCCCAATTGGTCCTCCTGCTTCCTTCTAGTCTATACCCCCACACTGATCTTTAAACCATTTGGCTATCACTGCTTAATTCCTCCCCCACCCCCACATACTGCATTTCTTCTAACATGGCTGCAGCATCTTTCTTGTATCAGTTCAGACAAGTCACAGGGTTCAGAGCTTGACGCCGTCCACCATCCAGATCGCACACCCAAGAATGTCCTGAAAGCACGCATAGCATGCCTTTCCTTGAGTCAAACCGCTTTGTCCCCTTACCTCTGGCAGCCAGATCTTTTTATCGGCAAAAACCTAGTCCCAGCCTCCCTTCAAACAAACGCTTATCTTCTTTCCTTGCTGGAAGAAAACGGAAAATGAAACTTCGTGACAAATTGCAAAGAGCGATGCAAATGCGAGCTAGAAATACTAAAGCGGGTAATACATCTAGGAGAATCTCGGGGCGCGACGTAGAAGCTGTTCTCAGGCTTGCGCAGCGTCCAAGGGCCGGCACGTCCTGCGGAGACGCGCGCGGATTAAAGCAGCCGCGGGCGGTGGGGGCGCGGGCCCGGTGCCCGGGCGCTGCGGCGCCGCTCTCGGGGAACGCGCGGAGGCGCGGCGGGTTAGGTTTCGGCGGCCTCTCGTCCTCGGTAGCCTCGGGCCTGGCCCGTGTGCGCCGACGCCCCGTCCGCCCCGCCCTGGTCTCGCCAACTGAAACTGAATCCCAGACT